ATTTAATTCACAGTGTGTATGTAATACAATAGGTAATACAATGACTGGGTGATTATAAAAACAAGGGATTGGGGATCAGGGTTTTAAATTTTATTGACAGAGCAATGAATAAAGATTAAGATGTCCTTGCTTAAGACCAGTAGATCTGGCCTTTCTAAGAGTATTTCCATAGCACTTAACCATACTACAGTAGCAAATGTTGTGTTACACATGACCGAGCCAGGAGATGGCAGTCTTTCAATGCCATTGAACCACTAAAACACCAGAGGCATTGATTTTACAGTAGTATACTGAATTTCATTCAGAGAAAAAATAACTTCAATGCCTACATTACTGTTCCAGCCTGTTCTGTGACTAGAAAATGATTTGATTTTTGTCAGCCAATTCAGATAAGATACACTAACTTTATTTTGCAGATATTTTGCCGATTTCACTCTTTTCCTGCAGTTTCCTGCAGTTAACTGGAAGGGCATTTCCTTGCCAGTGGGAAACTGACAAAGAGCGCAAAAGATTGATTGTGTTAGTTAATTTCCAGGCAATATTACAAACATGAAGTCTTTCTCTCTACTGCAATAAAGTAAGAGGAAAAAAATATCCAGCAGGGCACTGACACGTCGTCTTGTGAGTCTGTGAGTGTGATGAGCGCAGGCATGTGTCGGGCTGACTCAGGGCGGGTAAGGCCACTACTCTGATTCCCCCATGAGGTGGCCCAGCTGAAACACAACTCTTTATTGTTCTACATGCAGTGCAAGTGTGTCAGACAGAGTTGTGGCAGCAGACACACTTTCTGGGTAAATAATGGGCTGACCGCACTCTTAGGATGAATAGTGACATGCTTCCGATGTCTGGGATGCCACTCTCTGGAGTCACATGACCCCCTGTCTCCACCCCCTGCCCCCCCCCCCCACAGCTGCTAAGCCCACTCATGACTTTCAGCCACTCACCCCCCATCTGCCAAGTGCTGAAAACCCTCTTCTATTTTAGTTCTCTTATCTTATGTACTGTTTAGTTGCCTCTAACTGATATTCAGTCTGACACTGAAAACCTATGAAAATGAAAGGAGTTTCTGACCAGTTGTAACAAATGAGTAGCCTCTCTCAGTCAGGATCTTCATGAGGTAGTCGGTCAGGTCGCGACCTGCGAGGTCCAGTCTCATGATGGCATGGGGTAAGGCGTAGCCCTCATATACCGGTACGTTGTGGGTCACACCATCCCCGGCATCCAGTACAATACCTGCGACAGTCAAAGACAAAAACATTTTTGTATCAGTGCAGGCAACAATAGTAACAAAACAAAAACACAAATGAATTTTTTAACAATTTGTTTCCTTATTTGTACAACAATTATCCAAAGGAGGTGGCATGGAAGCTAAGCTGGCTAAAGCACTGCTAGTTTGTATTGTTTGGATTAACTGCGAAAGCTCTGAGTGTATGTGGTTGTTTTCTTCCTTTACAGTGTTTCACTGTATATATATATACAGTGATAACAAAAGTATTCTATACTGTCACTGAGAGCAGATTCAAATATCAAGATTTGTATTCAATGCAGGTAAGGTGAAGTCAGACTAACCCAGTTTCCTTTGTATGTTCTAGCGCCCTTTACTACAACCAGACTTACCAGTGGTACGGCCAGAGGCATACAGGGAGAGAACAGCCTGTATGGCCACATACATGGCGGGCACATTGAAGGTTTCAAACATAATCTGCAGAAACAAGGACAACACCATTATACTATACACTATACTATACTATAAAGTGGATGGACCACTGCATGAAATGAATAGGTTTTGGACTCGGAGAGGTTTACATTTCTTTGGTCAGGTAGGTATTAAACACTTTTATTTATGGGTAATCTTGGGGGTATACAAGCACTATATCACAGTGCTTTCAATAAAAAGTCATCTGTGACAGAATGATAAACATCTAAAAATGAAATGAGAGCATAGCTATACAGTTTAATAGCAGATCCAGAGCATCTTCCAGTGGAAGGAGGACAGTATGACCTGGGTCATTTTCTCCCTGTTGGCCTTGGGGTTCAGTGGGGCTTCGGTCAGCAGGACAGGGTGCTCCTCAGGAGCCACGCGCAGCTCGTTGTAGAAGGTGTGATGCCAGATCTGTGACGAAGTGATGAAGGACACACGAAGAGGCAACACGCTGGCAAACGGGGTGACATCAGCGTTCACCTTCTCTTATAAGTTGTCTTTAATTATCAATTTAATTAACGAATACCCTGAAAATCAAGAAAAAGAATCCTACTCTGAAATAGACACCAGGTAGATTATTATTCCAAAGAGAATGACATATCAACAATACACATACAATAACCTCCCAACTCAGAAACTATATCTGATTTCAAAATAAATGTAAAAGAAAATTAATATTTACAATTTTGTAAGGAAGATGAATTATTTAATTTTTAAGTTGGTCAGCTGCACCTGATGATAGATAAAATGTAATTTTTGATATAGCTCGATTTTGTCTCTCTATGAATGAGTGCACCTTTTCCATGTCATCCCAGTTGGTAATGATGCCGTGCTCAATGGGGTACTTCAGGGTGAGGATGCCCCTCTTGCTCTGGGCCTCATCTCCCACGTAGCTGTCTTTCTGGCCCATACCCACCATCACACCCTGGAAGAAAGAAGAGTGTTGGTTACGGTTCCACAGCTTGGAAAGTATAAATCTAATAGAGCGTCAATGCTGAGCGCTTTTCTGAACATACCAGGCAATTTTCTTGTCATCCTGGTCGTGAGCCCTAAGGTTTGCTGTCTATATATGACGGATGGAGATTTAGTAAGGTGTTCTGCATTTAGTCTATGGGCATTGTGAATGGGGCTAAACTGGGTTAACACTGATTTTCAAATTCCTGTAGTAAAGTTCTTGGTAAAATTCCTTAGTGGTCTACTAATACTAAAGTATCAGTCTAATTATGTCTGTGGCAACATTGCTTCAAGTCACTTTACTTTTGGTCATCAGTATCTCAAGCATCGCTAAATATGAATGCCAAAAGATACCCTCTGCTTATCTTAAGACACCGGGCTAAAGGGATTATGAACTGCAGCCCAGATGCCATCATACCATTGAGACGTGCTAATGCTTACACAATTAGTGCCTCTTCATTAAAGGATTATATGCTGCTTACTAGTGAGGTTGAGCCAAACTTGAGATGAGTAACATTGTAAACCCAAAGACCCCAAAGGACATGTGGTAAGACGGGGAAGGGTAACATTGCTGGAGAAGGAAAACTGAACTAAGATTAGAACAGTGTATGAGGGTTGGACAATGCTCTCTTTCTGTTCATTTGCCACAATGAAAAAAGTCAAAACGTACAATTTTTTTTTTTTTTAAATGTGCATGACCACGGTATCTGGGCAACAATGTCAATCAGAGGGAAATTCTCACCTGGTGGCGAGGCCGGCCCACAATGGAAGGGAAGACAGCCCTGGGGGCATCATCGCCGGCAAAGCCTGCCTTAACCAGGCCGGAGCCATTGTCACACACCAGGGCAGTGGTCTCCTCCTCGTCACACATGTTCACTCAGACAGCTGTAACCCTGCACTTCAGAGCAACACGGAGGATCAGTTTTATTAGCGTGGTGGATATCCTAAACATTACTGACAGCCAATAAATAAATGCAAGCGTTACAATTTCTGTTCTTAAGTGTTCTGCTAGAGCAAAAATAGATTAAATAAAAAGTACACCCTACAAAATACTTGTTATACTATTTTAATAATGAAGTACACCATCAGCCAATCCACATTTGCCTTGAAATTTGCAGTTTTCATTAGGTATATTGGTTATCCAGATGCACATCTTTCATAGTTTTCCAGGATTTTAAGTTTAAGGGTCATGTCATGTTTAAGGGTTGTATCACAATAGTTAGTTATCAATAACTAACAAAAGATAAATCTAAATAATACAAAAATGGACTGAAGTAACCTGAGACCTCTGAAACTAACATCAACTAAACTTTAGACAACAAAGTTTATAAGCTAATTATGCTTTTCACTCAAAAATATAAAAAAAAAAGAATTATTTTCTGGTTTCCTATACTAAAATGACATCATTTTGAATATGAAATGACCTTTCTCCAGCTGTATTAATTCTGACACTCAAAAATGTTCTTTTAAAGGGCGCTTGCACTAATATCACTATAAAAAGAGAACAGAGTCTCTTGTGTGACTCACCTAGGAGAGCTGGAGAGGAGACTTGTGAGCTTGTGCTCCCTTGAGAGAGTAAAAGCCAAGCTTCACCTGGTCCAGGCATTTATACCGGGATCCCCACGGTCCATGCCACCGAATACCATCAGCCCGTCAGCCCTTTTTAGGAGACATTGCCATGCTAACAAGTGGACTTAAAGTCCAAAGGCATTTTGTCCTCCATGAAAAAGGACACAATTGCTGTGTGAAGCTGGAATCCATCCCACCAAATAGGTGGGCAGAAGTCTTTGTATGGGTTTAATATTAGACTGTAATTTATTGCATGGAGACACGTGGCCCATTGTGGGAAGACAGGTCGACCGTGTGTCATAGAGGATGGCATTTCGGAATCCTGCGGCATTGCACACTATAAATAAGATCCTGTGCATAAGTCATAATGGAGGTATGGCCTTTCGTCTGTCCATCCACTGGGGCGTCACTACAGCAGGCATTCCATAAAAAGTACTACAGCGGGAACGCAACCTCTAAAATGCCTTCAAAGGAAATTTCCTTCTGCAGTGATCAGAGTTTCATGACAACAATGGTACACAAACCTCCACCAAGGACAATAAGAAACAAATACAATTTAAATGCAGTCAGAAAATCGCTATTAAAGACGACATAAAAATTAAAAGCTATCAAGTCACAAACTCATGAAGATAGTTCAAATCTATGATCCTGCCTTTTCATTCGTGTCAGTAAACTTTACGAACAGTAAAGTGTTGGGGCACTAAGAAGAATGAGAAAATAATTCCAAGAATAACAATTGCATTTCAAAAGGTTAATGAGCACAGAGGACACAAGGTTGTTTTCAACAGCTTTATTAAAATGCTTCATTTCGACAAAAAATCTGTAGTAGGCAAGAACACCCTGCACTATATTGCACGTTTACCCTATCAATGATACTCAATGGTGAGGGAACAGTCTGGTGAGGCAAAAGATGCTGATGACCACCAGCTCTTCTTAAAAAATAGATATTATATAGAAAATACCTTGGATGCACTCAGTAGCTTTTAACATAGATTTGATTCCTCATTCACACAATATATACAAATCAGTAGGAACGTAAGAGAAATAAACAATTTGACAGAGTACACTGATGCACATATGACTTGTCAAAGAAACAAATCTCAATGTACAATAAAGGTTTTAATATGACGTGCCAAACCTGATATACATAAACCCTTACAGTATATAATATACTCTTATCCTAATAGGACTGCTTTTAAATAAATTAAAACAGCAGAGATCTGTAGTGCATAGCTCAACCAGCAGCTAAAAACAAGATTGGGAGGCCATTGTACTTTAGTACCTTAAGAGCTGAGTATGAACATGTATTTGTTTTGTATAGTTTTTGCAAAGCTTTAATCCTGGAGGAGTTATCTTCAAGGTGGTTGAACAATTTAAGCAGCAATGTCAACATTCAACTCAAAATGTGTCATCATTCTTTAACACATTTTGTAGATTTCCAGCATTTGTTTTGCTGCAGTATTAACTGTGATACATTTAATAGGGCCCTGAGGGTGTGAAAGTCTGTGCTGCGAAGCCCCTGTGGCCCTTGTGAAGAGCCCTTGGGTCATTTAATGCTGGCCAGCAGAGTTAACTGTTCTACAGGGTACCAGTGAAGCACATAAATACGATGATGTGCAGCGTCAGCAGATACGCAAGAAAAAGGTAACGGGATTTGGCCCGTGACGTCAGCAGCTTGGAGCAGTACAGACTCCGCCCCCGCAGCCACCGCTTGCAGGACAGAACTCCGCCTTTCATCTGGTGGGTGAAAAAATAACTTGCGCTACAGCCGACAAGCTCAGGTTCTGCATGGTTTATGATGTGCTGATGAAATTCATTGTCTCATGACAGCACACAGTAAGTAGAAAGCTCCTGGTCTTAATGATGGAGACAGAGGTGAACACTGGAATGCACTAACCTTGCGAGTGACAACATTCTCACTGGGGTCAATGATAAGTGCTTCCCGTTCATCGTCAGACTCCAGATGAATAGTGAATTCTCCTTGACTTGCCCTGGAAATGCTAGCATTCATGCTGAAACACAATAACCAAAAACAAGTGTCAGGGCAGGAAAACAATTTCAATGTGTACAAAAAAAAAAATTCACAACATACTGGGGTTTGCAAAGATTCTCCGGGGGTTAACAGTTATTGTGAGTTTATCTACGGTCAGTGTTTGGAAAAGGAATGCAGGAGCTAAAGGGCCTGAAGTGATGATGGCACCTATTCACTCTCTCCTCGGCGAGTCCCAGAGCATCTTCAGCCACCTGCCTCCTGGCCCGCTCCTCTCTCAGGCTCTCTGCAAGCTGGGTCAGCTCATGCTGCGTAGAGACTAGCTGCTGCTCCACCTCCACCAGCCTGCAGCATATGAACATGAGATTTGGAGGGGAGGTGGGAGAAGCACAAGGCAAACAGAAGGACCCAAGGGCAGAGCAAAATGAATAAGCATAACACTTGTCATTTTTTTTTTACCTCCCTTTTAATACTATGTGAGGGGGCACAAATATTTATCAACGTCACCTGCTTCTCAGCTCACTAGCCTGGGGGGTGTCCATTGCCACCACGGTAATACTCCGTTCTTGGGGTGCTCCAGGAGGAACCTCTGGTGCCACTGCCCCCTTGTGGAGAAAGACTGTCTGGTCAACAGGAACTTATTTACTAGTCCTAGTATAGTACTAGTAATATAGAATATGTCCACAAACAAAGATCTAATTTGGTTATATAATTAGCAAAAACAAAGAAGGACAACTTAAGAAACAATAACAGTGACAGAGATGCTTGAATTCAGGAAGAACTTACATGAGCGCGACCCTGGCCGGCAAATGTCTGCATCTGACTCTCAAGCCAGTAACAGCGATTCTGCAGATCACCCAGGTTCAGCTGTGTGTCCCTCAGGGTTTGAGACATTGTCTTTAACTGGGAAGCCAAGCCCATCTTCTCCTCCACAGTTTGCAGAAGCTTGTAAAGACGACGGGGGACAAGTAAAGTTTTCTATACACGCTATATACAATAGTTTGCTTTTCAGAACTGTGATACAGAAATTTAGATGGAATTCACTGCTTCATTAATACAAAAGAAATCGGTCCTAGTGCAGTGCCAGTACCTTGGCGTTGACCTGCTGAAAGCGTAAATCTCGCTGATGGACCTCTTGGAGACAACGCTGGAGGTCGCTTTCAAGCTGCCGTCGCTCTGCTAGAAGCAGAGGGAGCTGCTCACCAGATGAGTCCTTAGCTATTGGGGCTGAGTTCACCTGAAAGAACAATCCGAAATGAAGTCTGGGAACTTAGTTGCAGCCATTTTAATCCATTTTTACAAGTGTGGAATGGTGGAAAAAGTTCTGTTATCATGCTTAAGTAAAAGGAGAGGTACTTCACCAAAATGTTACTCAAGTGAAATTCATCCATTATAATATTACATTTAAAAAAATGGTTTTCAAAGTACTAATGTAAAAAGTACAAAAAGCAACGAATCCTTTTAAATTCATTCAACATAGATTTCACTATAGCATTGTAAATTATAGTTCAGCACAAGAAGGAAAACAGTCATATTCTTTTTATTCAGAAAAAGCTATGAAACTTGCCTTGCTGCACAGATTAGCGGAAAGACTGATCTACAAGCCAGATTTAATGGGTTATAAACATCCCGGGCCAGTACTATAAGACCTTTTATAAGTGGTAAATGACCCGACGAAAATCCTTGTCCTCCACTACGAAAACAGCTGATCGTCCAATGCAATCAACACCATTACTTCAGTAGCAGCTGTAGTGCTGCTAACTTTGAATATCCACAAATTAAAATATCCATCTCATAAAAACAATATGTAATGAATAAGAAGAAAGAAATATACTGCTGAAGAATCGAGAAAGAAAATCATAGTCTTGATTCTGAGTGAATAAAATCATTATTAATATTTTACCCAGAAATGTGCAGCTACTCAGGTGATCTGCATTTGATGTTCATGCAGAATGTATTGGAGTAAAAAGTCATAATTTAGCTCAGAAATGTAGTGAAGTAAAAGCTGCAACAACTAAAGTAAGGTATGAAACTGAAAAAAAGAAGAAAAAAAAACACTACTTTTTTAAATACAGTAAAAGTATTTGTAACTTCTGTAAGGATGAAACTTTTCTTAGGTTCTATAAGTTCTACACAACAATCAACATGAACAATCAGAAGAGTCTACAACCACACATATCCAAATTTGGGTCTTAGCGAAAGATATGGAGGATTATTTAAATATAGGCAAGCATTTAACTGGTTTACTTCCACCTTCACAGGATAACTGGACAGGGCTCCTCTGATACCACACTCCAGCCCAGCTCACCAACCTTTTCAGCCATGGCAACTACTGGCTGCGTGAGGCTGTGGTGCTCTGACATCAATTTGTTTCTCTCAGACCTGAAAAGCAAATGAGACAGCATCCATCAATGTTACCTTGGCAAACTACAAACAGCATTCACAGGGCTAGCTCTTCTTGGAACCCCTGGTTACAGAGGGTATGTAGCCTCCCCTCTGGGGACCAATGCCAGAGCCTCATGCCTGTAATTCTTCCCCTGCTTCTCTTATGTTCACTAAACATAGCAGTAGCAGTTTCCATCACAGCCTACAAAAAACAGCTCACTTGCTGTGCAGTTTGCAGAGGGCAACCTAGAGGACAGTTCTGACATATGTACACTTATGGCTTCATCTTAGCAAATGCAAAATATGGCTTTGACAGAAAGAAGTCATGCCTGAAAGAGACAGACATCATAACACAATTCAAGTCTGAAGCAAGTGGGTAGAATCTTTAACAACTATGGGTCAGTCAGAATGAAGTGTTCCCAGTGCCATAAAAGACTACAATCATACCTGCAGATATCACTGATTTGCATGATGCTATTCTCTTTGGAAACTTAGGAAACTTTACTGTGGAACATGATAACAACAAATACCTGTTTCTACTAAATGCAGCTTTCACCATTTTTCAGGCAAAACAGAAACCTAAAAAAATTGAGATATCCAAAGCATCCAAAGAAATGTCAAAGGATCTTACTGTGTTCATATTGAGTGGAACCTGGGTGTTCCCTCTGTAAGAGCTTAAAGACCCCCATATAAGAGAAAATATGCACCAGGCAGGGGGTAGGGGGGCGGTCTGACCCTGTGCGCTTGACCTCCCCACCCCACCCCCTTATCCAATTAGCAACTTTCATTGTGCCCCCCTCCGAAACTTCATGTCATGGTCAGACTGCTCACTAGGCAGATAGGATCATTCGAACACTGATCTTACTTCAGTTCTGCAAGCTCCACCTGGTACGTGTTGATGTCTATCTCTGTCTGCCACCTGTAAGCCTGTGCCTCCTGCAATGCCTTCTCTAGGTCAGCATTTTCAGACTTCAAGCTTCCAACTTCTTTCAGCTGTCCCAGAAAACAAAACTAAAGTTAGAATGATGATATGACTTGGACAAAACACATTTATACTATGTGATTTAAGCTAGGGATGTAACGATATATCGAATTTCACAATACCGCGTCATGGGACTGTGCCGATATCTAATAGGATATTACATGGTTATTTCGCAAGCACAGCTGCATTCACTCCCCGTCGAAAATTGCATTGTTTTTGTTTGAACAGCAGAGGGTGCAATCAAACTAAAAATACTGTCGTCTCACTGTGATTATTGACAAGATCCAACTGCTACAATAACGTATTTTATTACTTATTTTTATTTACGGCTACTACCGACTGCTGCATTGTTCTTGTTTTGCGATTGTGCATACATAGTTCAGTGATTCATTGCCAATGACAATGCTATTTTTGACACATGCTTAGGTCATGGCTGGCCACTTCTGTTATTTAATTAAAGAAGGAACGCTAAAGCACTAATTAAAAGGAAAAACATTTAGATGAATGAAAAAAGGCTGATTTAATAAAAGGACAAAGTCATCAGTTTCCTTTATATTTTAATATTGTGATAGATATTGTACCATGGACTACCATCACAATATTGCTGTATAATGTGATTTTGGTATCGTTACATCCCTCATTTAAGCTATGGGAAAAAATGAAGAAGAAAAAAAAAGTGGTTCATGCTGCTGACCATTCAAGACACATGAAAAAATGATTTGTAAGCAAGCCTAACAAACTGATATAAAAACTTACCAGCCTATTCCTCTCAGTTTGGAGGACATCAACACTGCTATTAAGATTAATCTCCTCACTGCCCACAGGTGTAGCTGTACTGGCACTTGTCCCCTGCCTGGACTCAAAACCCCTTTTAGCTTTTGCCAGTTCCTGAATCAGTCGGTCTCTGTCATCTTGAAGACTGGCCATTGACCCAGAGAAGGCTGCCATTTGCTTGTTGTACATGTCATTCTCTTGTGATAGCCTGTTGAGCTCTGTTTCCTTTTCTGAGATTATACAGCATAGCTCATCTATTTGTTTTGTCAACTGAGAATGAGTGTTGTCACTTTCAAAAGCAGAGAGTTTCTGGATTAGAATATACCTCTCTTTAGTTAGACTGATAAGTTCAGAATTTGTGTCACTGAGTTGCCCCTCAATCTTGTTCATAGCTGCTGTGGTCTCCCTGAGTTCAGTGTCGTATTTGTTATGTAAAACTTTGAAGTCGTCAATGAGATGGTCTCTGTCATCCTGTAACGCAGCCATAGCTTTTGCTAATGACTGATTTTGCGCCTCGGTGGTCTTGCACAGATTCTTGGCCTCGGACAACAGTTGTTCGGTTTGCATTAATTCTTTAGCAAGCTCTGCAAGCCTGTTTTCTGCAGTTTCTCGCTCATTTCTCATAAGGTCCACTTCTCGTTCAAAGGCGTTGAGTGTATTATTATATGTATTACTGGCTTCTGCTAGGTGATTCCTTGTTTTGACTTCCAGTTCCTGCATCTCTCTTTTCAGGTCATCATTGGTCATTTTCTGTGCTAATAATTTTTGTTGCAGATCATTACATTCTGCAGCTTTAGCAGCTATTTCCTCTTGTAGGTCAGAAATCACTTTGGCTTCTTTCATTTCAGCTTTCTGTTTCTTCAGGGCCAATACCTCAGCATTAAGTTCCTGAACTTGAGTGGCAAGTTTTGAACTCAGAACTTTTATGATATCATTAGCCTCTTCTTTTTCCCGAAGATCCATCAAGACCTCCTGAAGTTGATATTCAACAGATGTTTTCTGACTTAATATGTTTTTGACGGAATCCTGTTCTTTCTTAAGGAGTTCTTTTAACTGGTTGTCTTTAAGGGATAAGACTTGATTAAGATCTTCTCTGTATCTAATCAGCTGTGCTTTGAGCATAGCATTTTCAGAGTTTAGGTCATCAATCTGATAAATAAGAGTTTTGATCTCTTGTTCCGAGCTATTTTCATTGAGGTTCTCCTTCCCTGAACCCTCAGTTTCCCATAGATTACTTTTATGTTTTACCTCCAATGTTTTGTGATCAGAAAATAAATGTTCCTTCTCTGTTTGCATGAGAGAGGACACTGGAGAGCTCCTAAGAGATTCCTGCTTTTCAATTAGTTGCATTTTCTCTTCTGGAAAGATCTGCATTTTGCCTTGTTGCCTTTTGACTTTAGCCTCTAACTTTATGGATGTCTTGTCTGCTTCCTCTCTTTCACTGTAAAGGACATTCAACTGAGCTCCATAATCCTCAGTTTGAGCTTTGTGATGTTTTTGCAGATGCTCTAAATAATCCAACATCTGCCCATCACTGGAGGAGAGCAGCATGGAGATCTCAGAGTCTTTGTTATGAACAAGTGATTTTAGCTGTCCTGCAATGGCTTTGTGTTTCTCAAGATCAATGCGTAGCTTGTCATTGTCAGCTTGTACCAAGAGAATCTTGGACTCAGATTCTGATAACATATTTTTAAGTTTCACAAGATTTGACTGCATTTCACATACTGAACTCTCTTTGTCAGTAAATTGTGCATTTAATACATTTTTATCATGCTCCAGCTTCTCAATTTGTTCATTATGCTCACATATATCTAAAAGCTCCAAATTCTGACCGAGTTCAAAAGAATCCTTTCTTGTCAGTTTCTCTTTAAGTTGTTCTTTTTCAAAATTGATGCTTGCTATTTCATCTCTAGCTTCACTTAGCAGAACTTTATATGACATAATTTCAGTTTCAAGACTCTTTATCCTTTCCTCAAAAGCAGAGATTTTATCATTCATCTCCTTTTCCATGAGATGACCTTTTGACTGAGCTGACTTTAAAGAGCTTTCCAATTCTAGAATCAGTTCCTGATATGTAATACAGTCAGTATGAAGTTGATTGATTTCTTGATGTTTCTCCTTCAAGAGTTCTTGTAGTTCCATCTTAATGCTTTTCGAACCATCACTTCCTTTCTGAAGTACCTTCAGCTTTTCCTCAAACTCCTTAAGTTTCAGTTGTTGTTGTTTGTCATCTCTGGATTTCTCTTCCTTGCTTGAGGTTAGCTGAGTTGACAGATTCTTATTCTGTACTTCTAGCATGCGGACTGCTTCTGTCAACTCATCGTTTTTTTCAGAATTTTTGAGGAGCATAGTCTCCAAATATTCTTTTTCATTTTTCACCTTCTCAGAAAGCTCTTGTACATTCTCAAGCTCTTCTTGCAAAAGGGACTTGTCATCTTCTAAAATTCTTATTTTCTCATTCAGGCTGTTAATTTCCTGAAAGTTCCCATTTATTTCTCTTCTCAGTTTCCTAACATTATTGTCCTTCTCTTCCAACTGAGCATCATAATCTTTCTGCAAATTTGCATTTTTTTCAGCCAGATTTAACTTCTTTTGCAGGAATTCAACCACTTCAGTCTTGTGCAAAATGTCTGCTTTTTGAGCTTCAATCGTAGAAGTTAAGGTATTATTCAAATTAAGCATTTCTTCTATTTTTAACTGCATATTAAGCTGACTTCCGTTTGATTCACTTTGCCACTTTTCTAATAAGTTGTTCGATACCTTAAGTTCTTCAACTAAATTAATATTATCACTTTGAAATTTGTTCATTTTATCTTCGATTTCAATTGAAGATATTTTCAGGCTGTTAATTTCCTCTTCCAGTTCACTGTTCTTGACCGTCAGATTTTCAATTGTGTACTTTTGTTCCTCAAACTCTTCCATCTGCTTTCGTATCTTCTCATTTTCAGCTTCCAGATCCTGAATCTTGTGTCTTTTTGATCCGGTCAACTCTTGAATCTTTTCCTTCATTTTTTCAGTTTCATTTTTGGCTTCAATAATTTGCTTCTCCAGTTGTGTCTTTTCTGATTCAGTCTGCAGTACTCTTAAAAGAATTTCTTGCTTCTCTTTACGGGCTACCTCTAAGAGCTGTCGCATCTTGTGCATCTCATTGCTGACATTTTCATATGCTTGTAAAAGAGATTCATACTCAAGTTTCAGTTCTGTGTGTTTTGATCGCCACTCTGACAACTCAACAGTTTGGGAATCCTTTAAGGACTCCAACTGGCAGGAAAAAGCTTGCTTCTGGTGAGTGATATTCTCTATTGTGAGTTTAAGGCTTTCACAGGCAGCTGAGAGGTTATGGTTGTCGCTTAAAATCTGATCAATTTCTGAAATGAGTTTATCCTTCTCTTTGTCAAGAGACAGTACAGAACTTTCCAAGTGTTCCTTCTGCTGTTTCAATTCTGTGAGAGATTTCTCAAGACTTGCAGCTAATTTATGAATTTCTTCATTTTCAGACCTTAATGCTTGTATTTGTTGTTTGAGGGACTGGTTCTCTTTCAAGGCTTCTTTTCGAGAGATCAAAGCTGCCTGTAGTTTCTTAGCCATCTGTTTACTCTCATCTACCTGCTCCCTTGGTCCGCGGGCATCTGGAACTTCTTTGGTATTCTGCTGCAGTTCATTAATAACAGTTTTCATTTGTTCCATTGAAACCTCATGAAGATGAACTTCCCTTTGCAGTTGCTGTTCCAAACTAGCAATGAGTTGTTCTTTTTCCTTAATCATTGCTTGAAAGTTCAGAAAACCATCTTCCTTTTCTTTAAGGTTTACTTCCAGTTGCTTAGCATAGGACTTTAAAGACTGAAACTCTTCTCCAGAATCCAACTCCAAATCTGCTTTTTCAGTTACACTTAGTTTCTTTAGCAGCTCTTCCCTCAGTTTTTCTGATTCGTTAAGCTTTGTCTCTAGAAGGCTAACTGTGCTTTTGACATTTTGAATATCAGTAAATGCATTATGCTTCTCTTTTTGTAATGTTTCAATGTACAGTTTATTACTTTCAATTTCAGTCTGTTTATATTTTGAGTCAGCCTGTACTCTTTCTAGCTCTTTTTTCAAAAATTCCCTCTCTTGACAACAATTGTTTTGTACTGTTTGAAGCTGAAATGACTTCTCAGCTATTATGGAATGTGCTTTTTCAAGCTCTTCCTTGATCTGAATGTTGGCATCATTAAGTTCTTTATTTAATTTTTTATATTCTTCATACTGTTTTTCCTTTTCAACTTTAATTCTTTCTATTGCATGCTTAAATTCTTCAACCTCAGCTTGTGATTTTTGAAGGTGACTATGCAAATCAGCATAATTATCAATTTCTTGTTTATCATATTTGTGTTGCTCTTGAGCTGTATTAATTTCTTGTTCCAGTCTTAGAATCTTTTCCATTTTCTCACTCATCTCAATGTGCGCCTTTTCTAGCTCTGACTGTCTCTCTGTGAGTTGAAGGCTAATGTCTTTGGAATGCTCTTCTAGAGATACAATCAAAGCATCTTTACTTCCCATCTCAAAGGTCATCTTTTCTAGTTTCTGATGAAGACATTCGATCTCTCCTTGATTGGCGGTGATGGCTTCTACCTGCCAATCTCTTTTAGCCATGGATATATCGAGGCTGTTGAGTATTTTCTCTTTTTCAACAATAAGATTTTTAGCAGAGTCCAGTTCATATTCAAGTAAAGAAATGGAATGCTGGACATTTTCTAACTCCTTAAGCTTTTCAGCGTATTTAATCTGAACAGTATTAAATTCATCTCTTTGTTTGGAGTTCTCTTCCAAAAGTTTGTTAAATTCTTCTTTTAATCCAGAGACCTCCTGGGCATGTCTTTTTTCAATCTCTTTATACTTTTTCATTATTTCCTTTCTTGCTATTAATGCAGCATATGCCTTTTTTTCTTGAGCCTCTTTTTCTTGCTTTACTAAAGAAAGTTCCTTTTCAATTTCAGAATATAAGTTCTCTTTCTTTTCCATCTCCTCTTTGAGAATATTTATGTCCATCATCATCTTAGAACGTTCATGATCATGAGTTTCTTCTTTTGCAGCAATACTGAATTGGAAACTATTAATAATTTCTGATTTTTCACAAAGCAAGTGGAGGGTGTTAGTCAAGTTTTCCTCTTGCTCATCAAATTTTGTTTGTAAACAATGAATGTTGTGACTCATCTGTTCAAGGAGGAGATCCTTTCTTGAAACATCCTGTGTAAGTTCATTGATGACTACTTCTTTCTGCATTATCTGTTGTCTTAATTCATCCATCTGAGAATCATGATCTTTACTTATTGTCTGTACTTGTAATGTCAGTTCTTTTAACTTGTCTTGCAAAACAGAAAACTCCGGAGCAATGTCCTCATTTTCCTTTATCTGCTTTTCATACCCATCAATTTTCTTTAATAGGTCCTTTCTAATGACCAGAGCAGCTTGCAGCTTTTTCCTCATTACCTCTTTTTCTTTGCACAACCTGTCATACTGGATTTTCTGTTCATCATTCTCCTTGATTAAATCCTTATTCTCCAGGTCCTTAGTTTGCAGTTGTTCCTTATAAAGAAATAACTGAGTTTTGCTCTCCTCCAACTGTGTGGAGATACTTTCAAGTTCCCTGACTGAGTGATTATATGTATTTTCCAGGCCTTCTAGTTGGGAGAGCAGTATATCCTTTTCCTCTGTATGCCTTACCATTTCATTTGATGCTGATACCATTACTTGTGTGACTGATACATCATTTTCTTTTAACTGCTGGGTAAGTGATGAAATTAATTCTTTTTGCTGGTTTAATTGGATATTTATGCTACTTATTGTATCATCTTTTTTTTGGACCTCACAAAGAATACTAGATTGGCTAACACCCGCCTCTTCAAGATCTTTGCTTCTTATCTGCACTTCTTCTTTGAGGTGTCTTACTTGGTCATGCAGTAAACATAATCGTTCATCGTTATCGTTATACACTTTATCTTTCTCTAATAGCTCACGCTGTTTTTCCTGCAATAACTGCAATGTCTCATCTAACTGCTTTTTCAAAGAATATATTTCGGACTGCTGATCTGATTTCAACTGGTTAATTGTAGTTTGCAAAGAGTTTTTTTCTTCCTCAAAAGCAATTAACCTTTTAGTCATGGTTTCTGAGAATTCTTTTAAATCTTTCTCACAAGACTGTAATTCATTTTCCTTATGTTTTAAAGTCTGAGTCAGTTCAAAAATTTCATTTTCTTTTTTGTGAATAGCTGATAAAATTTCCTCTAAATGGTTTCTGTTTTCTGACACTTGTTGACCAAGTTCAATAATTTGCAAGTCCTTGCTTTTCAACTGATCTGAACTAATGTTAAGTGCTGCCATTACCTCTATACTTTTTTGCTGCAAAGTATCTAGGTCCTGTTTCAAGGCCTGAACTTTAACATCTTTTGACTTCATCTCATTTTCTACATGTCTCAGCTGCTCAGTGAAAATATTCTTTTCCTGAATTTCTTTATCAAGGATAGACAACCATTCTTTTTCAGACTCCTGTAGAGTCTGTGTCATTTTCTGAATGTCTAACTTTAATCCAGTGATTTCTTCAATCTTGGCACTAACCTGCAGCTGCAGATGCTCCTTCTCGGTCATCATTTTCTCCATGGCTTCGCTCATGCTACCAAGATGCTGCTGATTTTGGAGTTCAAACTCCTCTTTCAGCATTTGCAACTGGTCGCTGTAACTTTTGCAAAGATCTTCTTTCTCTGGGATAGCTTTCTGAAAATATTCTTTTTCACTGATGGCTGCATCTAGTTGCCGCTGAAGGTCTTTATTTAGACTGCTCTCTTCCCTTAATTTTTTATTCTCCTCCCTTATTTTCTGATTTTCTGACAAAAGGTGTTCTCCACGTTTGACTTGGACAGCGTACTGATTGTTGATTTCATACAAGGCCAGTTCTCTCTGTTCTAGATTCTGTGTCAAGGCATTTACCTGTGCAGCAACTTGTAAGTGTTGTGACCTTAACCCCTCAATTTCAACCATTAAATTAGAGGCATGTACCTGGTGGGTGGTGAGAGCTTCTTCCTTCTGCTTTGAAAGTTCAGCATGAGATGCTTGTATATGCTGAAGTTCCTCCCTAAGCAGGGCCATTTCACTACTGAGTACATCTACTGTGTTTTCAGCAGTTTTATTTGAGTCCTTAGAATCCATGAGAAGCTTGTTGAGATTGTTGATTTCTTCATGTTTTTGAGAGAGTTCCTCTAGATTTATAGATAATTTGTGTTGCAGATCTGATAAGGCACTTTGCTTCTCTTGTGCATATTCGTTGAGCCTTCTATATTCTAAGGAGTTTTCCTGAACCTGTCTCTGCAATTCTGAAACCGATTCTGTACTCTCCATGAACTGAGTTTTGAAAAGTGCTGCCTCATCTGCTTTAGTCTGAAGATTCTGAAGAGCTTTAATTTGCTCCAAGGCAGTAGCCTCCTTTTCTGCAAGTGTTTCTTGAAGTTCGGCTATTTCGGAAGACTGGGCACACAGCTTACCCTTCAGTTTAGATACATCTTCTTGTAGCATTGAGACCTGTTGTTTTAGGGTTTCACATTCAGCATCTTTGGTTTTGTAATTTATATGCAAAATATCACTGTTTGCAAGGGAGGTTCTCTGAATTTCTATAAGAGTCTCTTCCTTTTCTTTTAACATTTTCTTGAGCTGAATGGACTCTAGTGATAATGAATCCACTTTATCTCTAAGCTGTAAATCCATATCTTCCAATTCAGAATATTTTGCCCTTAAACTCAAGTAGTCATCTACCTTATTCTTCAGGTGGCCATCTTTTTCTGCAATACTCATATTTAGCTCCTTATTCTTTTCTAACAAGCTCATAATCTCAGCCTGTAGATTGCTGATAGTCTCTATGTTGGCACTAATTTGGGTCGTTAATGCATCAGATGCAGTTACTGCCTTTTCTTTGAGCTGTTTAAGTTGGGTCTCTTTCTCTTGTGAGGACCTCTCCTTATCCTGCATGGTTTTTTGCATGAACTGAATCTGAGACTGCAGCTCAGTGATTGTATCCATCTGACTTTTCCCCTGTTCCAACTGGTCTCTCAGCTGCTTTATAAACATTTCTTGCTGATTCACAGACTCGGTTTTCTGCTGTAATGATAAATGCATCTGTTCATTTTCTTCCTCAAGAGCCCTTAACTTCTTTGTCAATGAAACTACTTCATTTTTTTGGTTAGACAACTCTGACTGGAGAACAACAATTTCTTGCACTGTTTTGGAGGCCTCTGCTGCAGAATTGTGATATTCTGTTTTGATTTTGTCATTTTCCTCATTTAAAGCCTGAACGCGATTATGAAGTTCTATTAATTCAGTCTGATTCTGTGACAAGGTCTCTCTTAGCATACAGTTATCAGAACTTTGTTTATCTACTGCACTCTTCATGTCCTCCTCAATCTGACTACAACACTCTTTCTGCTGTAAGACTTCACTCCTTAAAGACCTCAATTCTACATCTCTCTGCTGCAGCAAAGCATCTTTCTCCATAAGTCCTGCCTTTAAAGCAATTCCTTGCTCCTGTAGCAGGGACAAAGTCTCTTGGAGTTGTTCTTGGTTTGAATTTTGATCCATAATCATTTGATCTTTTTCAGATACCTTAACTTTAAGTTCTTCTATTTCAACATTCAAAAGAGCAACATGATTGTGTAAACCTGCTACGCTTTCCTTACTCTCACTGAGTAATTGTGTTAGGAGACTGCATTCATTTGTTTTCTCAAACAAACTCTCTGACAGGAAAGTTTTGTTTTGTTCAGAGTGTTTAAATTCTTCAATCTTTTCAGTCAGGTCTTCTTTTTCTTTCATTAGAACTTGAATAATTTTTCTGTTTTCAGATATCTGCTCCGAAGTCATATCATTTCTTTCATTCAAATCAGTTACCAGCTTCTTTTGTTCAACAACTTCTTCCTTCTCCTTCTGAAGGGCCACATGAAGTTGCTGGTTTTCTTCATTTAAAGCTTGCAAGTGATTTTGAAGACCTTTAATTTCAGTTTGACTCTGAGAAAGCTGCTCTTGCACCTTAATGTTATCACCAACTTGAGTTTCAAGCGATTTTTTAATGTCAACATTTGCAGATTCCAGCATTAATATTGTTTTGTTATTTTCCTCTATCTGACTACTCATTGACACTGTGGATTCCGTCATCTTATTATTTTCATTCAGAAACTTTTCGTATTCCTGAGAATAACTTCTGAGATTTGCTTCCTTTTCTTCCAAACCTTGACTCAGTCGCAGGTTTTCCATTTGTAGTGACTCATTCTCAGCCTGAAGCTGAGTAGTAAACTGTTTGTGCAGCATAACTTCATTTTGTAAGGAATTTACTTCAACTGACCCCTGATGCAACAAAGACTCTTTTTCCATAAGCCCTGCCTTTAAAGTAGTTACAGTCTGCTCAAGCTGACTTTGCTGCATTTCACAATGGGCATTTTTGTCTAGAATAATTTTCTCTTTCTCAGTCAAACTACCTCTGGCTTCTTCTAATTGAGCATTCAAGTGAGAAACCTGATCATGTAATTGGGTTATGTTCTCCTTACTTTCACTGACTAATTTAGCAAGATGACTACACTCATTTGTTTTCTCCAGCAACATGCCAGACATTGAAATTTTATTTTGCTCAAGGACTTTTCCAAGTTCCTCATTTCTTAGAAGTAATTTTTCTTTATCTTTCTGCAACCCTTCAATACTTTTTTGGCTTTCTGAATGCTGTAGTTCATAAACTGACATTTTACTATTTAGCTCCTCAGCTAATGCTAACTTATTTTCATCCTTGTAAGCAATTTCTTGTTGCAGCTTTTTGTTTTCTTCGACAAGATTGGCAAATTGTGATTTCAGGCTTGCATGCTGATCATAAGTTATGGAAATTTTCTCGTTTAGATCTTCTATAAGCTTCTTCTGTTTACTTAGTTCTTCCTCCTCCTTCTCAAAAGCAGCCTTAAGCTGCTGATTAGCACTTTCAAGGAATTTCACATTCATTTCTAGTCTTGATATAGATTCAGATTTTGCTTGCAGTGCCTGTTGAAGCCTTTCATTGTCTGAATCTCTTGCCTTCAACTTCTGATTGAGATTAACTTGTTCATTTTCTGCCTCTTCCTGAGATATAGATATATTTTCCAGTTTCTCACTTAGATTTTTAATATTTTCCTCAGCCTTCACAGCCTCAGCAATAAGTTGGTTGCATTCATCTTTCACACATTTCAATTCTTTTTCATATGTCTTCTCTTTATCTTGTAGCAAGACCTTTAACTTTTCAATGGAACCATTTGTTTCAGAGAGATGACTTTCAGAATCCTGCAGTTTTAGAGAAGTTACTGTTACTTGGTCCTTCAGTGAAGAAATCTGAGATTCACACTCCAAAAGATGGCTTTGATGGTTCACAGTCAACTTCTGAATTTCCCCACAAAGATTTTTGATATTCTGGTCATCTTTCTGAACTTGCTTCATAAGTTCCTCAACCTCCTTGGTCTTCAGGTTTATTTCCTCTTTAACTTTATCCAGCTCAGACTCTGCGACTTTAAGCTGTTCTGTGAGCTGTGTGATCTTGTTATTCAAGGTATGCTGGTCAGAAGACTGGGAGTCTCGCATAACCTGAGCTTCCCGCTCAGTTTTTGTCAAGGCAGTTTCCATGCGTACAAGATCCTCTTCTTTGAGTTTGATATCCCGTTTGAGCTCAAAAATCTGTTCAGAATACTCAGTCATGCTATTAGAGAGGACACAGATCTCCTTGTCTTTGTCAGCCAAAATATCCTTAAGACTGTCTATCTCTCGTTCACAGCTTTGAAGGTCATGAATTAATTGCGCCCTTTCTTCTAAATGGGTGGAGTTCAATTTGTCCAGTTCATCATTTGTTTGCTCCAGATCATTCTGTAGTGAAACAATAGTGGTCTCCTGTTTCTGTGCCTAAGATTTTAGAACAGAGGGAGGGTGAAAGTGGACCGTAAGTGAAAGATCCAGTGAACTGTCCCCCCCCAAATCAAAAGGTGCACAAAATACATTTAGTGATATCCTCAAATGCATTACATATTTAAAACTTTTTCCAAAGAAATCTTTACCTTATCTTTCAGCATACTTGTCTTCTGAGTAAGATCTGCAACTGACTTTTTCAAGTCAGAACATTGCTTTTCATAGCTACTGCATTTCTTTGCAACTTCAGAAAGCTGAAAGAGAATAAATCTACTGTGAACTGCAGCATTTCATAATTCCACAGACAAAAACCTCAAATCTTTATTTCTTACATTGTGCTCTGCTTGCAGGAGTTTCTCTGTTACTTCTTTGTACTGGTTCTCCTTCTCCTTTAAAGCACCCGTCAGATTATCGATGAACTCCAGTTTCTCTGATGCTTTGGCTAATGTCTGCTCTTTCTCCATGAGTGATGTTTCAAGGCACTCTTGTGTTTCACTTAAACTTTTTTAAACATAAAAGAAAATATTAATTAGCATTAAACAGCATATTAAATCATCCAGAATAAGAATAGGTTTAAAGTTTAGGAAGATAGATTATTCCAATGTCATTTTTTTGCCAATTCTTTTTTGCTACTAGGTGAAACACTGAAGCAACTGTGGCAGCATGTGTGTGTGGATACATAACACATTGTTTTTCAGATTGTAACTAATATATAAAAGGGTATATGTTGGGGGTATAACCATAACTGTAGTGACTAAAATAAACACAGGAGCATTTTTGGTAAGCATAATCGATTGAAATTGTAATGAATGAACAGTTGCTGTGTGAGCTCACCCTTTGAGCTGTTCGTTAAGGCTTGCGACCAGCAACTGGTGGTTTTCAGTTTCCCGGCTCTGCTGGCTCCGAAGGCCAGCCAGCTGTGCCTGCAGCCTCTCAGTCTCTGTCTGGACAGAGAACCAGCGGGTTACTCTCAACTGGCATGACAGCTGGATGGCCACCAAACATAATTTCACCACAGCCACGCGCATATGAACCAAGTGCTCTTGAATACACACCATGCAGCATAAAAGGAACTTACTTTAGTTCTTTTAAGTGCCATGAATATTAATGAAACTTCTGCATTCTAAAATTTTTAAAAGTGGCACTATTACTCGCTCCTTTTATGCTGGCAAAGGAATAAGTGCTTCTATAACACACAGTGGTGAAGTGGTAGGACAAATAAAAATTCACCCCTTTATTACAAAAGCAGTGGCAGTGAAATTCACCCATATGCATGTAAACACAAAATACTTCGAGGCAAACATTGCAGAGTGAGCAATCACCTCTGAATGGCGCTCTCCAGCACACACAGACACAAACACACCTGAGAAACCCAAAATGGCTGCCCTTCTTCATCTACATCAAACGTCACCTGTGTTAGAGGGTTTTTTACAAAATCATAGATTCCAATTTCTTATTCCTCAGGCAAGAAATGTATTAGTTAAAACCGAAAGACTGATAAAAATAAATTACATGCTCAGCAATTTGTGCAGAGAATTAATGCTAAGCATTCATCATCACTAGCTAGCAGTGAAAGGTCAGAAAACTGAATGGCTGAGAGCAAGTATGCAAAGCAAAATACCTGTAGGGACTCAATGCGAGCTTGCATCTGTAGCCGGTCCTCCAAGTCCTGACAACGCTCCTCCAAGCCTACAATCTGCTCCTGCAGCTGATTCCTCTCCAGTTCCAGCTCATCCACCACCGACCGCAGGCCTGACGCAGGGAACAGATAAAAATCTTTACATTATGTATCTCAAAAATAAGCCATTTCAACTGTGTTTATCTAATATTATGACGATATGATTTAAATGCATTTGTTAAATTGTGATCATGTGAAAGCCAGAAACTACAAAATGTGTGAACACATCCATACTCCATGTTGTCATTAACCAGTTACCATGCATCTATGAATATGCCGACTGTGTTAAATGGATAATAACTGGGGTGGCACTGTGGCTCAGTGGTCTGCATTGCCACCTCACACCTAAAGGGTTAGGGGCTGGAGTCCACCATTGCTTTTGCACGTTTTTCCTGTGTTGCACAGGTTTGTTCCCTGGAACTCCAGTCTCCTCCTGCATTTAAGAGATACAGTCTCAAGCTAAATAACATCTCTGAACTGCTCCTACCGTATGTGAGTACATGTTTTATATTACCCTATCCCAGTAAAGCGCAGGCTTACTTCCAGCTTTGTGCCCTATGCGGCCTGCGAAGAGTAAGTGACCAGGGGATAACTGCTTGGATTTATTTATGAAGTAGAGATGCACCGATCGATTGGCCAGGGACCGGAATCGGACGATTTTCAGCGGGCTTGGCTTGGACTGGGAACCGGCCGATCAGTCTCAGGTATTTCCAATACCGACCGGTCCGTTTTACGCAAGCACCACACATCATACACACAGCAGCGCAGGATATAGCCTCACAGCCGCATGCACACTTACAGCCACACGCTAACATGGCGATAGCGTGGAAGTTCTTCACTGTGACAAAAGATGACACTAAGAATGCAATTTGTTATACATGTAAAGCCAAAGTAAACTGTGAGGGAACCACCACGAAAAATGTGGTGAAACTTCGGAGGTGAACTTTAAACTGATCATTAAACATGTACTAGATAATCTTGAAAAGTAATAATCATTAAAATTGCAAAGCTAGATAAGGTGATTTCCTATGAAAAAGTAAAAATGATTTAGTGAAACTTTAAGCCCCTGCTCTATAATGTCCGTACAGTATGAAGATATGAAAAAGCCTGATCCTAATCTAGCTTACTAACAATGAAAGAATTGCATGTGCATAACATGCAATGTTGGTATCAATGATATTACCCTGCATCTATTGTTATTATTCGGAAGAGTATAGTACACTTCACTTTTATTTGGAGGTTTGTAACCAATGGACTTTTTTTTTTTTTTTTTTTAAGACGAGTAAAAAAGGAAAAAGATCAATGTCGTATTATCTGGTGAATTTAAACATGCTGGAACATAAGTAACTGATTTGTTATTTAAATCTGTTGCACCTGCTCGGTAAAGTAAAATATGTCACATAAAGTTGGGTGTTCGGCAACTCATTTGTACCTCTTTCCAGTCACAGAGCACTTTATTTGGAGACTTGTTTAAGTGAGAGAAGATCCTGTAATTTAGTGCAGTTTAGGGGGAAATTTAATTTCTTTATGAAAATAAAAATTTGCATTGAAGCAAAGCTGGTTTTTGTTTGTATATGCTGTCAGTTATAGTTCTTAGAAAGAAAACGGGAATCTGTAAAAATTGGTCACACTTGCAAAAAACTCGGAAATTGGAATCGGCAAAAAAAAAAAAAGTGCATTCGGTGCATCTCTATAATTTCTGTGCATAATGCATTATTTAATTCAAACTGGTCAGAGTTGTTGAGTTAGACCAGAACTTTTTTTTCATATTTGGCTACCAAGAAACCTATTCCTGACCATTGTGAACATCATAAAGAATTAAAACCATCAACAAGAAGCATTGCATGTCTGATGGATGCCATTGTTGCAAAAGGCAGAAAGTCAGTCAAGGGCCCCATTCTTTTGTTTCCGGAAGCATAAAAACCCCCTTTAAAAAAAAAGAATAAAATTAGATGGATGGACTTCAATGCATTCAACATGGAGTATGAGACACAAAACCAAAACTAGGCAGTTCATTCAGCACGCACATGCTTAAAAAGAATATTTAGCACAATATAAAGCAAACACAAATGGGGCAAACAAAATGTCAACAACACACCGTGCTGACAAAGGACTTTAACCACAAATGGCAACCAAAATACACGAGGGGCAAACACTGTGCATGCCACAATAAACTGGCTAGTTGGTTTCACACCTGCGTCAGAAGTTCTGTACTCTGGCCACCAACCTCCCATATTCTCTCCCTCTGTGGAGGCCGTACTCTCCAAAGCATTTTTTGGGTCTGGATAAGTCTGCTTCTCAAACTCAAAGTCCTCCTAAAAAAAGATTGGAGATTTGCTAGATTTAACCACCGTTTCTCATGCCAATGAAAATAAAACTCCTTTATCCACCAAGCACGTACTTTGACGTATGCAGCCCTTTTGTTTGTGCCAATGTGTCGTTCGTTTTAATAATAGCAGCGAATAGAACACCCTCAACCAAATAGCTGTAATGTTCCTAACAGAGTGGCTGCTCTGTGGATGCAATATTTTATAAAATGCTGGATAAATAGACGTAACTTATTGGTGATTTCATTTTTGTCAAACTTTCCGGATTGCTTTTAAAACCTGTATAAAGTAATTTTATGCAAATTAACCCAGGTAAAACACTTACTGTGTTGGGCCAAATATGAGACATTTTTTTCCCCCACAAAATATATAATAATAATATATTCAGGTCAATATGGTAATTAATAAATAAATATATATATATATATATATATATATATATATATAAATAATGTAACAAAAAATTTATGTGATAAATATATTTTATACTGTGTTATATATTTTTTATTTAAGTATATAAAATATATTTTATGTTAAATTATTTTCAGCTGAAGTAGCTTGCCATTTTGCTTCCATTTGCTTTGACAGATATAAAAATGTGATGTCTGTATGTCTATATGTGTCTGTATGTCTGCACTTTAGAAGTGGCCACTGCAATTTCATTGTACAAGTAGCATTCGTGCTCCAGTACAATGACAATAAAAGGCTTTCCTATTTCTATTCTAAAATGAATATGACAAAACATTATCTGTGTCACTTTTTAAAAATTTCTTTTTGAAATAAGACTGCCCATACACAACTGTATTAGCGATTAAAGTGATCAATTATTTTGGTATTTATGTAAGAGAGAGGCTTTTATTTAATTAATGGTGTGGGATTAAGATTAATTTCACAAGATTAATCTATTGAAACCAATAAATCAATGAGCACAAAAACATAACGCGACTGTATTATGGGGTTTATGGTTTTTCTGGGCTGACTGCAGTGCTGCACTGTGAGAATACCTGGCTTTTTTTTTTAATGGGTGATTGTTATGCTAATGCATTGAGCCATTAGCGAAAATAAAAGGTGCGATACGCCAAAGTACATCCCTGCTTGTTGTTAGAGGAGGTTGAAAAAATGCTAGCTGTTAATACAAAAACACATAGAATCATACAGAAATGTAGAACACGTCAAACATTTTGCTAAATAATTCCATGAACAATAGGTCAGTAAATATAAATATCCAGCTTAGTATAAAGTATAAATGTGACATGCATAGCCCAGTACAACAAAATTTACTTACAGGCACTGATATATCAACAATGACGTCCATCTAATTTGACTTAGTAGTAATGAACGATGTTTTGAAAAATGGTAGAGACATTCATCATCTATGCATACATTTCTGTCGTAAAATATCACAGAATATCATGGAATTAAAACTGTACATCGTGCAATTCTGCACCCTGAGGTCATACTCAAACCTGCTCACTGCACATCATCCTCAGGTTTCCCCATTAGTGACCCTTCACTTCTGATGGTGACCACCACACACCACAGCACGGGAGGGACGGGAGACGTCTTGCACTGAAACCCCACCAGGGACCCTCCCACAGTACCTGTAGGCTGGTAGCCACAGCCAGCTTCTTGCCCTTCTGCTGCCGAAGCCCTCGAGCCTGCACCAGCTCCTCCTCCAACTCCTGCTGCCGACTGACCAGCACTGGATCGGAGCAGCCAGGAAAGAACCAGTCATCCTCAATCAGTTTTGTGCCACAAGGGAGGTATTCGTTAAGCTCAGACATAGAAAGGATACGTGCTAGTGGACATGGATACAAAGAGAGACACTCAGAGACTCACAAACATAGATAGAGCAGAACACCAAACAGCAGACGAGCTACGGTGCAGGACGAGACAGCAAAAGTCAGATGTGGCAAGCATGCAAACTATGCAGCCTTCAAAGCATTTGGGATATAACTCAATGGCTCTGAGAAACAGAAAATGCATCTTACTCATTAACAAGGGTCCTGTATCTCAGTGTTAGAATGACAGATGAGCGGTCAGCTGAAGTTACCAGCCAAATCAGGCTATACCAAAGATACTAAAACAAAAGTATGACTGTTCTTTTACATCCAAGAAAAAACTCAAAGACCAATTAAGTGTTTATTAACCCACAAAGATTTAGAGTCCCACATTAATAGCTCTTCACCACCCCACACTGCACCACATCTCCACCTACTTCCCTGTTTATAATGTCGATTTGTACGAGATGCATGTATGACAGGATTTGTCTGCCAGAAAATAGATTTGGCACCACAAGACAGCTCAACGGGTCAAACCCTGGAAATCTCATAGAAAGATGAACTGTAAATGTACAGCTGTAGACATAATATATAATACCCTACTGCTAGCATAAATTAACCACTGCCTGCCATACTTTACATTGCATAAAAAGTAGCACTTGTGTGTCACAGCTACATTTTAAAGCAAAACTACTTTTCAAATTTGTTGAGTTCCATTTTCACACCTTACAAGATTGGAATACCTGCTTATTGGTCATTGAACAAGCCATGAAATCACATTTATGTTTAGTTGGTGTAATTGTAAAGTAAAAAAAATTCCCATCTGTTTTGTGAAATCAGACATTTGTAGGCCTAAATTTATGTATTGCTATAGCGTGATGAGAGAATATGAATTAGAAATCGAATACCAAGCTTTCAGGGGCATACACATTTTTAAAGATTAGGCTTAGATTTTAAACCAATTGCTCAGATTGTTTGAAAATAGGTTAAGAATGATTATTACATGAGGAGGTGGTACCATGCGTTCACACTGCGAGTAGCGAGAGTGTCAAAGTGACCCCAAGTCGTGAATTCACTATTGCAGGGCGCATCGCAATTTGGGCGGCGAGAGTGTCAAAATTAAGTTGAAGCCTGGTCAACTTTATGGTAATGAGCTATAACAGAGTTAGGCAGTAACCAATCAGAATGTAGAGCTACTCCACTAAAGAGAGTTCCACAGAACACAAACGTGTAAACTTTTGTTCCAACCAAACAGTTCCCAAGCACTGTCGAAGTATAAACCATGAGACAGAATGCCCCTCAAACATGGCATTTTTACCCTTTAGACATGGTAAAAATATCTGTGCTTAGGCGGCATAAAACTATGTTAAATCATTTAGACATGCATTTTTGTACTGCGTGAACACAGTATAAAAGTACGCGTTAAAAAGGTCTTTTGGTACTGAGCTAATACTTTTCCATTCAATGACAAAGGTTTCAGTCTGTAGGGCATTATATTGGTTGGCCTGTTATAATATTTGGGCTTTTAACCCCAACGCTCTCGCCGCCTGTGGTATGAACGTATGGTTACACTTACAATTAAATGGATAATAGGAAGGAATTATAAAGATGGTTACAAAGAGATATGGCCTTTTAGCAGCACCCTGCCACCAAGAAGCAGAGCCCCAAAGATTCAACCTGTAATTAAACCCTTTAGATGTTGGCCATTAAGGCAGATCTCATTCCTTCAGCTTACAGGATTGAGCATATGACCACTGTTTGTTAGGTTCATAGGCATCTCATCAGCCAACAAACTAAAAGCAGGTTAGTCAAAATGAGCTCATACATCAGGGGTGGGCAATCTTATCCGCAAAGGGCCGGTGTGTATGCAGGTTTTTGGGATAACCTGTAGGTCAGCTGTTCAAACCCAGGTGTGCGGACTCTTCAGCCAATCAGTCCTCTAATTAGTAATATAATTAGGGAGTTGCAGCGAAAACCCGCATACACACCGGCCCTTTGCGTATAAGATTGCTCACCCCTGTCATAAATGATGAAAAGAAAAAAGGAACCTTCAGTCACAAGTGAAGCATTTTTAAAAAATCCTTAAAAATGTCTTTGCCTTGGGCTGACAACAGCATTCAATTTAGTCACCTGAGATAAATTATTTAAAAGCAAATGATCATCATAAGAAACGAGCAAATAAAAGCCAGTTAAAGGAAATGTTATTTGGTAAGTCCAGAAAAACAGGAAACAGAAACATATATGGTTGACATTAAACTGTACCACCCAATACTGTACTGCCCACAATTTACCCAATGAGAGCAAGGGATACTGGGAAACAGCAACCAGTACAGTACAGACTGGCACTAGGGCCTGCATGCACAAAACTGATGGGAAACTGTTCTCTGTGGCTGCCCAATCACAGTGAGGAGGAGTGGAGGGGGCTAGGGCACAAAGCGAGGGCTCATCAGGGGGTATGTGGAGGAGAGGAGAAAATAAACAGGAAAACAACATGCCCAAAACAGAGAGCAACAATGAGCAAAAAACCGCACGCAATTCTAAAAAAATAAAAAATGCATATAAAACATTTTTCAACATTTTTATCCAGGAAGCTGCAAAAAAAAACACTAGTTAAAAAAGTCAACTACACACTAAAACAGGTCAAGACATGATAAATATAGCTTAAAAAAACAGCTTTAAAATAATACAATTAAATGCCTTGCACAAAATCATTATGAAAAAAATCCATCCAAACTGGACAAGAATGGGCATGCAGGAGAGTGTGCAGCGGATGCAGCAAACGACCCTGAGGAATGCTGGGTTTGCAGGGGGAGCGGCTGGCCACCGATACTGGAGGCTGCAGGAGCTGCCTTTTACCTTCACGCTCCTCCTCGATGTGGCTCATTCGCATCCCCAGGGCAGCCTTCTCTCCACGGGCTTGCTCACGGCCCGCCTCTGCCTCCAACACCATATCCTGCCACTCTAACACCTGGCTCTGCAGTTCATCCACACTGCCCGATTCGCTCGTCTGTGAGAGACAAACATGGCCAATGTCCCATCTATACTACTGATCACATGATCCCAATGCATCTTAACAAAGGAACACGGAAACTCATTTGATCAGTTCTTCGTAACAATGGGTCAGTTCCTTGTCCAAGCTTCCTTGAAATAGACAGCAATGCACTTCATAAAATACATGTAAGTGACAGAAGCAAGAGTGAGCAAAACTATAACCATAAAGCAAGAAAGTCTGCACGTCAGAGTAGGATTGGGGCGATACAATGATAATATCCGTATTTGACGATAACAGACGAGTAACCTGGTGTCGATATCTGACAGTGACTAACCAATGATTATTGCCTTCAGACACAAGATACAGTAGCAAGATAAAGATTTATGAACTGCTTACAGTTCAGCTTTGTAGCCTACATTTCCAATGCAGTAAAAAAGAAACACACATTGCTTTCATTTAACTCCTGATGATATGTGAAGGTATCACTATGTGTAAACCGATTATAATGGTGACACACAGCTAGGGCTCACCATAAGTTTCTAACCTACGACTTTAGATGGATTCAGACAGTCTGCAACATGCTTTAAAATCAAGATTAAATGTGGCCTGCCAATCAATTGTTTTTCCACAGAGGCTAAAAAACAATTATCAGCCAATCAGCTAATATATTGCTAATCCGAATCCCACCCCCCCCCCCCATTAACTATGTAATAGATTAAAATCTGAGAAACTCCCATTCGTAATTTTGTGCTTTCCTTTATCACAGCAAAAAATGACAGAACACCAGCTATTTGGTGGATTATCCATATATAATTTTTCATACTTTCACAGTTCACTTTCAAGTGCTCTGTTTCGTGCTGAATGCGTGTGAGGTACTGTAGTTGGATGACTCAGTATTATCATTCATCCCATTACTTTTAAATAGAAATATCACATTTTTTTAGATATTGCCCAGCCCTACAGTCATATGGTGAAATGTGAAGCGCAGCAGTATTCCAACCTGAGAGGCGGCTCGCTTGGTGATTTGCTCCAAGTCAGCTTGCATCTTCCTCTGCTGTTCTTCATACGCCACAAGCTTGGCTATTAATTGATCTAAAAATGAATAAATCATGTTGCAAATGTGAGATTTCTGTTTTTTATTGCAATGTATTTATTTAGCAGACCCATTTATCCAAAGGGATGTACAAGTAATGATTAGGGATAAAGGTTAGTCAGTGCCTGAAGTAACTGGGGTTAAGGACCAGCAACAGGATTCGAACAGGTGACCTTCTAATCACAGGCACAGCATCATGATCCACAGTCACCCTTACGTACATTACGTATCTACATTACGTATCTACATTCATGGATTTCAGGCGCAGGATTACCATTTTTAGTTTTTAGTTCATCATACTGGTCTAGTTTGCACAGAAGCTCTTGCCGTTCTTCTTCAAGATCAGTGATGCGGTTCTGTAACGTATTCATATCAGGGCCAGGGCATCCAGACTTAGCGGAGACAGAAATAAGAATATAAAACAGATTTCAGAGCCCAAGTAGAAGATTGACAGTGACCTCAGCTGTCATGCACTGCAGTAATACATTCACAGAAGAACAATATACAAACTGCTTTGGCTACTAATATTAAAACTGACTACTAAAAATGTGGAATAAACCCAGTGTTCTATGAATGAAAAATATCCATTTTATTTTCACTTACCTGTGCTTTCCTTAAGTCATCCTCAAGCTGCCGGATGCGCGATTTGGACCACGCTTTCATCTTCAGAAATTTGGCTTCAGACTTGTTTGCTTCCTCAGCTTTCACCTTCAATTGAGCTGGGCAGAAAGTCGCAAGCTCAGTTGAAACACCACGGCATTAAGAAGAAGAAACACCAAGCTGACAACAGACTGGAAACCGAACCCTTTGAAACCACGCTCCCAACATTAATAATACAAAACAAAACTGTTCCGTTATTGTGATAAACAGAGAATCCAGAAGCAGCAACAGTAAGTTCAGTTACCTTCCATCTCCGACAGCTTCTTTGCCGCTTCCATGTCCACCAGGGAGTCTGGGTTGGTGTCCCTGGGTCGCTCCTCTGCCGGCTGGACAGCTGAGGTACTCTGGAGTTCTTCCAGCTGCCGGTGGAGTGACTGCTCCTTCTCCAGGACCTCGTGTTCATGTTTCTCTGCTACCCGCTGCAGCTCCTCCTCATGTTTCTGCATGAGATCCCGCAGCTGGGCTCGCATTACATGCCTTTCCGCATCCAGCTTTGACTGCATGCTGTCCTTCTCTACATGCGCCCGCTGCATCTTCTCTTCCAGGTCCTGTGAAGGGTGTTAATAATGTTAATAATAATAATAGACACTTTATTGATCTCCATGGGGAAATTCTTTTTATGCCTCTCCCAGCTTGCTCCGTGTAAGTGAGAGCAAGCTGGCCATGACGGGCAGCCACCTGTTGCGGCACCCAGGGATTAAGGGCCTTGCTCTGAACTCTGTTTACAACAGATACAAACAAATAATTGATAAATAAAAGAATTAATTAATGTAAGATTTTTAATATTGCGTCAATAATACGTGTTTGCTACTATTTGGTTACTTTAGATGTATGGAAGACGCTGCGTCTGATGGTGATGTGCTTGTAAATATACGCATAGCCAGACATTCTGCATGCTTAGAGCGCTGATGTTTCAAGTGCTTAAAAAGATGGGTTGTGTTGTCACCTTTTTTACAAACAGTATTTTTGCAAAGTTAGCAAATTACAGTAGATTGGTCTATGTTGGATTTCACAAATAGAAACCATTTCAACACATCAAATTGGAAACTTTTTCGGAACCAATTCTTCCTTAGCTATGCCACACACTCTGTTTATTTGACAGCGTAGCCCAGTGTCTCCCATTCCAGTCTTCGAGGACCCACAGACAGTCTGCATTTTTGCTCCCTCCCAGGGAACTGGAAGGGAGCAAAAAAGTGAACTCTCTGGTAGGGAAATCTGAGGGAGCAAAAACATGGACCGACTGAGGGTTCCCAAGCACCAGACTGGGAAACACTGGTGTAGCAGGCCCATCTATGGACAGTGTGCTGTTTACCATGTGACAAGTATAATATATTTAGCAGCTTTTTAGTTCAAGATCTAGCCACTAAACAGATTGTCTGAGACAAAATTGACGAAAAGTGAGATATACAGGCAGTGCTGTTACGCAGGTTGAAATTGCTTTGTTTCACATCGGCCTGTTTCTGTTGTAGTACTCTTGCACCTCTGAACATGCTGCCATTGCATGAAAGGCCCTTGCAAGTTTGTATTAAGTAGTGCACTTGTAACCGAGTATTCATTGGAAGCTCAGCTTAGTTGAACGGTCTATACGACTCCTTGACAGCACGTTTGTAATGTGCCGTTTGCCTTACTTGTATATCAATTTGGACAAAAGCATCTGCAAATACAAGTGTAAATGTACATTTAATGCTGCATTGAGATTCTTGTAATAACTCTAAAACCCTTATCATGGATACAATTACAAGCGGTCGCAATAAATTACAGTCACATCGCCCAACACTATTTGAACCTGTAACAAGTAAAACTACTCACCTTTATCTGCTGGTCTTTAGCATCGACCTCCCCCTGCAGAACATTTATCACCTGAGTTTTTCCCAGCAACACCTCCTCCTTTTCATGGAGCTTCTGTTTCAGGGCCTTCAGGAGCTGAAACAAAATCAACCACATTCTCTCTGCAACTTGTAAGACCCCCCCCCCCCCTCATAAGAACAAGCAACTGGATATGCTGACTGGTTTATGAGGGAAAAGGCAGCTCACCTGTTCCAGATCTGCACTGGCATCAGACTTTGCAGCCAATCTGAAGAGCTCCTGTTCATGCATCTGGTTTATTTCTGTTAATTTGTTGTCTTTCTGAAGAATAATATCTTTAAATGTTTGGATCTGAAGCATGAAACAATAAGCAGGATAAGGCTTCTGCTGCACTTGATACATGAGAGAAAAAATACTGTAAACACGCACAGACACGAGAAAAGCCACTTACGTTCTCTTTGTACATGTTCTCTCTCTTTTCAAATTGGGCCTTCTCGTTCACCAGTAACTCTTTAAGGCTCTCTGTCTGTTCCTGCAGAAGGCTGTATCGCTCCTCACTCTCCTCAACCTTCTTGGTGAGGTGCTGCACTAACAGCTGGAGTTCCTGCACAGAAGCAGGCTCCCCTGCTGACTGAAATTAAAACGTTTACAGTACAAAGTTCAGTTACATTCCAGAAGGATGTTTATCATGGCAGGAGTATCAAAACTTAAGAAAAAAAATCATAAAATTACTATTTTCATGTATATAACCTACAAGGTATACGCATTTTAACATTCTGCTTGGGGAGGTACGGGCTATACTCATATTTCCACATATTGTAAATATTATAAAAAAGCAGCAGAGAAAATGCATGTATTTTGTAATTCCATATTTCAAACACTAAGCAGTTTGCATTTTCTTAACAGGAACATTGAAACATAATAAAATTCATAACTGAATTTATAATTTTCAGTTTTTTGATTGATTAAATTCTTGATTCAGATTGTGTACAAGAGTTTTTAAAATGCATGACATGAAATTATGCGGTACTGATAAATGTTTAAAGCACTATCTTGTTCATTCTCAGAAGGAAAGCCTTCAAAGACCATATTATCATCATCATCATCATCATCATCTGAGCTGGGGAAATGTTCAGCAACAAATGCTTCTGCTTCAAGAGAAAATATACCTTCAGTTTCCATGACCCTTCACAGATTCGACTGCTGATAATTCGAAATTAGCTGTGTATTCATGACTGTTGCTTTGGTATTGTTAACTGGATCCAATTTAATATATACAACTGATTTAACAAAAGATTTATATTTCAGCTGAACTATAGCGGCTTTCTACGGTCAGTTTTACATCTTTTATGTACTGTAGGGTACATAAATGATTGTGTTAAATTTTATAACTAGAATTTCAAATGTAAAATAAAAAATACAAGTAAAATAACGTGACAAAATAATTTTACAAATGCATGCCATATTCAATTGAGTCTTGAACCTTTAAGCATGCACAGAATCTCGTGTACATATTACATTACATATACCTTTCGTTCCACTACTCGCGGCTGGTGAGTTTGTGTAGTGATATCTCCTCCCACTGTCATCTGAAGATCAATGATATATGCCTCCTTTTCTGCTAACTTCCGGTTCTTTTCTGCAAGCATGGCATCCATTTCCATGCCCCGCTGCCGCTGAGCCTCCAGCTCCTTAGTCTAATACAGAGAGTTCAGGAAATTCAGTAACATCTGCACAAGACATAAACTACCCGACAGTATACCCATTGACAGGCTCGACAGCATGGATCTACTTACAAATTTAAAATAAGTATTTACTACTTATTAAATTAGACTGGCTCCACATTTTGTATCTAGTTTCCATGTTCAGTACTTCCATTACTATCAAGTAACAAATTGCTAGTGTTAGCATCTAATCCTGCCATTAATCTTCTGTAAAAAATATGTAACATGGGACAATTCAAGCTGAACTGTGATTCACTAATGAAGTATTTTTCGCTGATAGTTAATCTTTTACAATAAGGGATTCGAGTAGTTTACTGCTGTCCTTGTGCTAACTAGCTAAATGTTTAAAAACAGTTGTTGGGTTACCCAGAAGGACAAGAGAATCTAAGTTAAGCAGAAGGAGCCTAATTTATTCCCAAGCAGAGCACTGCGGCCGAGGTACAGGGCACAGATAGGGGTAAAGCAGAAGAATTAAAAATCATGGATAAAAGCACAAGAGTGCAGAATCAAAGCAACATCCATGACACAATGTGTCCCTGACTTATGATGCACAGAAAGACATGGATGGTATGTATAGTGAAGTGTCACCTTCACAGTCAGCTCTGCCTCCTTCTGCAAAAGCTGCTGCTCCAGTTCCTCTGTCTTCTTCTTCAGGAGGAGGATCTTCCCCCGACTTGCAGAGGTATGTTCCTGACTCCCATCTCCTCCACTCTGGGACACATATGGCCACATCAAAAATCCGTAAGAGACCCCAGTAAAGCCAAACCTGTGTGCCTCACTGCTGTTTTTTTTAAGTACTCGTTTATTCAGTTTGTTTTATATGTTTCCCAAAGAGATGTTGGTAGGCTAACTGGCATCTCTAAATTTAAAAAACTTAAAGTATGTGTACCCTGCGATGAACTACATCCTATCCAGAGTACAGCTCAGAGTACAGCCTGAAACCTAGGCTAGCTTAAGTAGTGAGAGAATGGATGGATGAATGGATGCTTTGTTTGGTAATACCTTGCATAGTGCATTACATGACCTTAAATAAGTCCTTTGTGAGCACGGTATGCAGTGGGTGTCGAGGCCTAATAATCCAAGTCATATTGCTTCAACCATACCTTCTTGATTTCCACCTTCCCCCCGGAGACAGCAAGTTGCTTTTTCAGATCCTCCAGCTGAGCATTTAGAGATGTAACCTTTGCTTTGTTCTGGAGCTTCAGTTTGGACAGTTTGGCCTCAAATGAGTCCTTTTCTGTCTATTAATTGGATAAAAATTTCATAAGAAAAATTTGCTTACTGTTCATAACAAACCTGGGGTTTGATCATAGTTGCATGAATAGAATGTAATACCTGGACAACAAAGTTAATTTTAAGTTCATTTTCATTACTTTGTACCTATTTATAACAATTATCACAAATAGGTAAATAGGTCCTATTACTTTTTACCTTTTCATTATATTTTGACAAAATGCCAGCAAAAAGAAAAAAAAATTAAATAAAAAAACCCAGAAGCAGCAGATGCTACCTAAATAAAAATAATAAAAAAAAAACATCGGATTTGGAGGAAATTATAAGTCACCAGAACTCAAATCCCCAGAATTCACCAGAATATCTGTTATGGTTAAGGTTAAAGTTCACTTTATTGTCATCAGCGACTGTGCAAGTACATAGCGAGATGAAACAGAGTTTCTCCGTGATCACAGTGCACATATAACAGTAACAATACATAATAACTATATCACACAATAACAATATCTATCTAAAGTGCATCTGTCCTGATGTCATACCTTGAGCTGCTCATCTTTGGCTTGTAAGTTGCTATCTTTCTCCCGGATGAGTTCTTTGAGCTGTGCCACAAGCTGTTGTGTCTGCGCCAGTTGATCAGTGACCTCAGCCATTGACTGACTACTGGAGCCTTCCTGGGATTCCAGGGCCTTGGAGTAGTAGTGATATGAGATTAGTAACAATGGCTACTCAGGGAGTGCCTCTGATATGTCATTGCAGACTTGCCTCTTCAGCAGTCTCCTTAAACCCATTCCCATCTACTTGGTTACAGAAATTCAAATCAAGGTAAAGCGGTGTTTGGGAAGCAACAAAAACTAAGTTGGCAATTCTTCAAATGCAGCTTATAAGTAAGTGGCTTCCATTCAGGAATTGGAAATTACAACAAAATTTGAAAATTCACACTAAATTCTGATCAAGTTACACAACTATGAAGTATATAAATGGAAATGGCTCATCTTTCATCATTTATAATTCATACTTACTGCCTGATTTGGGCCAGATTCATCATTTGAGAACCACTTCAACATTATGACTTTCTGTAAAACAAGGAAATCAGGAAACAGTGATGAACAAATTCTTTACATGTTTACACTACGGAAAAACAAACTAAACTGTAAGGCAAGGGAAATACTGATCACAAGAAATATATAATTTAATGATTAAGGTATAGGTCATGAAGAGGGGGATGGGGTTCAGTTCCTGCCTTGAAGATTAGTCTACAATTCAGCACCCTAGACACCCAAACTATAAACTAAATTTCACCCCCCTGCACTCTGGTAGGAGAATTCACAGTATCAGAACACGGACTACAGATTCATTCTCCATGCCATTAGTGTTTCAAACATACTGATTCCCATGGAACATGCACTTTATAGCACTGTTACCACGTCATTAACCACTAGATGTTGTCTAGTTTTGTCTTGTATGATTTTGCATGATCTCTGTGCTTTGCACTGTTTTGTTCTGTCTTTGTAACAGAGTGGAATTGAACAAGTATTCCTATGGACCTGATGCACATGACCTATAAATATCTTGAATCTTTAAGCAAATAATATGAAAAAATCTAAAATTATAATCTAGTCAAGAGAAATTACATGCATTCATTCATTCTTTTACATTAAGTACAAACACAAATTCAATTTAGCATGTGGATGTTTCAAAGCCTTTAAATCCAAATAACTCTTCTTTAGAAATACTTTCGTTATTTTATTTCTCAGATTTAATAATAACTAACAAGATTTGTTTTATGGTCATCTTTAAGTGTGAATGCAGCATTCAAATCTTCAGCATATACTGAGATAGCATGAACAGTTCCTACTTGTGTATTCTCAGCCAAGTGATCCTGCCCCAGAATAACAAACTATGATGTATGAAATGAGTCAATGTTTGATTAGGGCTAATTCCAGTTTACAACAGAATAAGCGACGTTTTAAATGTACTTGGTGACGTGTGTAACAAGGGCACGCGGCTGGGTTATTCAGTTCTGATTGCATGCATTTTAAGCTCGTATACAGGTGCTCTATGAAGATTATATAAATATATCAGCAAGTCTAAGACACAAACAGCTGACTGATTCCGTCAGTAGGGGCAGACTGAGTGGAACAATTGACAAGCTGGCTCGGCCTTGGAGGTTATCATACAACTAAACTTTGCCCAAATACGCTCAATGACATTATCAACTAAAACACAAAAAACTAAACTGAACCTTAAATTGACTGAGATGCTAAAATCGTGATTTAGCTATTAGGGTTTCGCGTAGTTACATACGCTGCAATTCATTAGTAATGGTTTACATATTAGTAATGGTTTATACATAAACATTAGCGTCAAACTCAAAGTATACTTTTTTACGAAGTTGGTAAACCAGTGATATGTGTAAACTGGACTACAAAAATCGTAAAATTGAACGTAAATCCAACACAAATCCGATAGATCCGGCTAAGCTAGCATTAGCTACCTTAGGTGCGGTATACTGTATATCGAAGTTACTTTAGTGAAAGAGCCTCTTAGTTTTATCTTTTGACTGACGTGACGTCCCTGCTTAATGCAGTTTACTTGTACACAATTTGATGAAGAATAAGAGATGAGTTTTCAAGCAAACAGAATAGCATCACTAGTGTCGGCTGCTCGAGTTAAAAACCAGCACGGCTACGTCACAGCGAAGACTGGCCGCCGCAAAAGCTTACCTGCCAAACCTGCTCATGTGGACGCTGCTTTTCAGTTGTTACTAATCAAAAATAAATGTTCATATTTATTCAGACCCTACTTTCACATTCTTACGACGGCTTCCTTACATTGGAAAGCCATTAGAACTCAGTCGTAACCAGCCATCTTAGTAAGGTGAACAAACACGGCAGAAAACGGCGGTGCTGACGACGCACGCAATGGACGTCAGTGTGAAACAGCAGGGAAACACTAAACTCCACACTCACGTTACCGGTTAGTCCGGGCTCCTCACTAATACAAAGGCAGCAAACAAATTTGTTCAGGCAGAACTGTTTGATTAATGAACCCGAAATAAATTGAATATATCTATTTGGATCGGAGTTTACTTGTTTAATATGGGAAAAACTATATTAATTGCGGTCAGCATAATACTTTATGACGTGTCTGACCCTTACAAAAAAGTGCTATGGTATTATCACAAAAGTAATAGCGTAGTAGTAACACTATGCTAAAACCATTGTCATTTGTCCATCTATATACCATAGTATAGTAGAGTATTACAATGTAAATCTTCATTTAAATACTATAGTAATCTATTAACCTTTACGTATTATACCATATGGTAGTAACATGTTTTAAATATACTATACTATGATAGTACAGGTTTTTTTCAGTTGTATTTTACATAATATTTACCACAGTATTGTAAGACACAGCACTGAAATTAAATGTCATAATTACATAAAATTTACCATGCATGAAATGTGTCTGTTTTGGCTTAATGGAGAAAATGCTTTAACAATTTAATAGCCACATACATCAAACAAACCAGTTAACTACTTAACAACATAAGTGTTTCAATGGCATTAAATGAAGGAAACATTTTCTTTTCAAAACACATGTTGTGTCTTTATTTGATATGGTGAAAATAAAATATATGTGTTTCTTGGCAATACCATGAGTACTGAATACCATAGTACCAATACTGGTTGAAAATAAATACCATGGCACGTAACAGAATACTGCGGTATCAGAACAAAATACCATATAGTATAAAATAAAACACCGTTCAAATACTAGAAATATATATCATATGCATATCACCAATACCATAAATGCACCATGAACAAAATAGAAAAAACACAGAAAGTACAATCCAACACAACCATGCTGACATGATAATACCTTGATAACTTTTCGTAAGGGGATTCTGCTACATAACATTTTTGTCCTGTTAGTTACTAAAATACAATACTGTTTCCAAAAAAACTGGGATGCTGTGTGAAATGTAAATAAAACAGAATACAATATTTACAAATTATATAAACCCATATTTACTGAAAATAGAAGAAAGATATCATATCAAACTCAGAAGCATATTGAAATTGAGAAATATTATTGTTTTATGACAAATATATGCTGAATTTGATGCCAGTGATACGTTTTGAAAAAGTTGAGACAGGCAACAAATTACTTGAAAAGTTGTGTAATGCTAATGCAAAACACCTGGTTGAATATCTCACAACTAATTTGGTTAACTGGAAACAGGTACTGTATGCAAGATGATTGTGTATTAAAAAGAGCCTCCGAGAGAGAGGTTCACCAGGTTCTGTGAAAGATTACGTGGGCAAATAACACAACAATTTAACAATAATGTTCCTTGGTGTAATATTGTAAAGTAATTTGGGATTTTCATCATCTACAGTACATGATATAACTAAAAGATTCAGAGAATCTGGAGAAATCTCTGGACGCAAGGGACAAGACTATAGGACCCGATACTGAAAAGTGTCACTGAACCATGTCTTTATGGATCTTGCTTTCTGCACTAGGGTACAGTCATGCTGGGACAGAAAACTTCCCACGAAGTTGGAAGCATAGACTTGTCTAAGATGTCTTATGCTGAATCATTAAGAGTACTCTTCACTGGAACTAAGGGGCCTAGCCCAGCCCAGCCCATCCCATACCATTATCCCTTATCCACCAAACTTTGCAGTTTACATTTACGGCATTTGGCAGACACCCTTAGGCAGAGTACTCATCAGTGAATACATTCTGATACTGGTTCAGTAGAACCCAGTTAAGAATACTATCACTCTAAAAAAAACTGTTGGCAAGTAATACATATACATGTTTTTAATTAATAATAATTAGAGTATAGTAGTACAGTTGGCACAATGCAGTCAGACAGGTAACATTCTCCTGGCATCTGCCAAACCCAGACTTATGCATCAGACTGCAAGACAGAGAAGCCTGATTCGTCATTCCACAGAACTCCTTTCCACTGCTCCAGAGTCCAGTGGCAGGATGCTTCTTATTGGCAATTCTCAACCCATGGGTCGCAAACCAAATTTGGGTTGCGGCAAATTCTGAAAGGGTTGTGAGGCAAAGTTGCAAATGTAAGCATTTTAAGACCAGCAAGCTCCTATGCTGGTCCCTAATCAGATTTCCCATTCCCAGTCCTAGAATTAACATATATAAATGGGTCGTGGGTCTGCAAATCCTTAATGCAAATCTAGTGAACATTTAACCAATCCAAGAAGCCAAAGTACAGATGCCTAATTTAAAATTCACTGGCACATTCAATCAGATTTGTGGAATAGGCATTAATTGGCACAAATTGTTTGCACTGTGCTTGATCATAGAGCAAGATCATAGAGTTAACAGCTTCCACTTTGCAATAATACCACTTATAGTTGAAATTTATACCACTTATAGTTGAAATTTATACCACTTATAGTTGAAATTTCTAGCAGGGGAGAAATTTCACGAATTGACTTATTGCAAAGGTGGCATTCTGTTATAGTACCACGGCTGAATTCACTGAGCTCTTCAAAAAGACCCATTCTTTCACAAATGTCTGTAAACCTGACTACATGGGTAGGTGCTTGATTTTATACACCTGTGGTAATGGGTCTGAATTTAACACCTGAATTCAATGATTAAGAGCTGTGTCCCAATAGTTTTGTTCATATAGTATAGCAGTACGAACTGTAAGATACACCAGTGGCAAATACATAGCATTGGAGGAGCCATGGACCGTTTTTTTTAGAGTGTATGTATGGTTTTGATTTATTTTAAACATACATTGTCCACTAAAACTAAAACAAAACATTCTCCTAAAGCCTTACTGGAATGTGAAAGACTATCAAATGAAACAGAGATGGTGTTGGGCCCTTTGGCCTTGTCTATGCTCCCGCTAGTAATCTTGGCCATCTGACAACCTACTGTAAACCTTTTGTTATAAACCTTGGTGAAATTTTTGATAGTGCACCTAAATTTGAGAAACAAACTAGATTTGGTGCCAATGGAAACTACAGCGTTGTATTCCCCTGACAGCCGTGTCATTTAGTTAATCTAATCCGTACTCCTCACACACTCTCCAACCTATAAAATTTCTATAAGTACTGGATGAATCACTTGGAAATGTGAAAGTTAATTATGTTTTTATTGCCGGAACGATGCCCCTCTCCCCCCAGGTGTGGAAGTTTACTTACAGCTCGTATCTTGTGTGTACCCTGTCCCATCCTCCTGTGTCCGTAGCTTATATAAACCCCCCACTGATCTGATCACCTCGTGTTTTCACTGTGTGTTATTGGGGTTCGGTGCCTGTTATAGTCCTGTTCAGGACTAGAATAAAGAGCGTGTTCTGTACCTTCAAGCAAGTCTCCTCGTTCTTCGCTACGCTTGCAATACCTCAGTTTGCCCGGTACTACTATATTATTGATGTTCCATTGTTCTAAATTCCTTCTTGTTTCTCTTTCGGCTCTGTAAAACAGCCCAAATGGCCTACTTCGGAGGTCCCTTTGCATGTCAGCCTAGGACTCCCAGAGTACTTAGTCTGCCCCTGGTCACCCTACCGTATATGTGGGTTTCTGTACTGGTGCACCTAATCAGTGAGATAGGACTTAACTGAACATCAATGAGTTGAAGCCAACTGCCAACAGATCAAGTCATTACAAACACACTAGAATAATTTGATTCCATAGCTCCAACACATGATCATACACATTCTGATATGCCTACATATACGTGTTTGCTTTTACTCTGGGGATGGGACGCACTGGTATGAAAAGACAATAAGATTGATTCACAGAACACACGTCATATCTAAGTCTTCTTTTAAGCCACTATGGTTTAGCGATTTAAGGTAAAAGATATAACTGCATTTACACTGGAGTAAAATTTGCTCCATATTTTCACCATGACAATTAGGAATCATCATGTCTATGCCACAGAATGCCAAATCTGAAACAGAATGATTGTCATCTGCAAAGTGTCTGCAACAGTGCAAGTCTGTTGCACCAGTGAATTTAAATCAAGTATAAAGCTGGATTAGCAGTGATATTTAAACCACCCCTCGAGGAGGTTTATGTTAGGTCTGTTTTAGTTTTATTGAAAACATGACTGCATTTCTTTGTTGGGTGGGATCAGAAGGAAGAATCCCATGTAGGAAAATTCGAGACAGGATAAACCCAATTGATTTTTAAAAGCAATAGTGAGTTGTCCATGCGGTATCGATTTACAAAAGAGTGTATACTATCATATACCTCTCAGTTATGGGCGTCGCCGTTATTAAATCTCATAATTCATAATTATTCGTTTGGACCCCCCCACATTTAACATAAAATATTAGTTTCATGCCAGTGTGTCCCCTCCACATTCAAAATGCTTCTGCATGACGCCGCTGCTCTCAGTGGAAAAGTTGGACCAGCTGTCATGCATGGAAGTGAGAGGAACTCCGCTGTACCTCGACTTATCCAGCACCTAGTAACTTTGCATTTTTATGCTATAGGGAATTATCAGATGGTTGACGGGGATCTTTTTGGAGTTCTGCAGGAATAGGTGCTTTTGCCCTACCATAGCTTACTGATTGGTGTTCTGTCGAGATGAGCTACTTTGTCGAGTTATGCTACCGTAGTGCTAATCGATAGCCCTAACCCTAACTCTTACCCTAACCCTAACCCCCCAAAACCCCCTAAAACCCTTACCCTAACCCTAACCCTAACCCCTAAAACCTAACCCTAATCCCAAGATGGTGGACCTGCACATGCGCAGAAAGGCTCGATAGCCCGTCTCGATAGGTAGGATTTTATGACAGAACACAGAATGTACAACATAAGAATGTAATTTGCCAGCGCCTATTAGCAGGATAACGTTACACCATTTTTTATTCTCTGGAAAGCAAAAGATTGATGGGCAGATCTAATCTGAATCATGAACATGGCGCAGGTCATGTAAGTAAAATATAAATAACAGGCTGTGTGGCATTTTGATCGTGATCGATCCCTCAATACCTAAAAAATAACTGACAAAACGATATATCAGACGGAGCGCAGGGCTAACACCAGCGGTAACGGTAAAAAATAATGGATTTTATGTAAAAAAAATACGAGACATTTGCGTCAACTTTATTTAGGGCCATATTTATTTAGCCTACGATGCATCGTGAATTTGTTCACATCATGGCGGACACTGAAGCTAAAATAATCAAATTTTAATCATAGTTTAAACTGGGGGGGGGGGGAGGAGTTAGGTTAGACTGTGCGCACATCTACATGTTCTCATGTAGGTTCGTTCTCTGTTTAAAAACATCAGTTATGGGGGGGATGCCACACTGTACTTTTGTCAGGGTTTAGGTAGCTTAGCTAGCCTGATCATTGATACTTAGTTTAGGGATAGTAAGCGATCAAGACGGTTTTCTGATCAATTCTTTTCTTTAGCGCCGCCTGCTTCTCCCTCTTCCCTTAGGAGCAGTAGGAATTGTACTCGGCTCTCGCATTTAGCCGCTTTAATCAGCTCTTGCACTTAGCTGCTTTGGTCCACCATGTGTCGCACTGTCCCGTTACTAATAAAATGTGAAAACGGCATTGTTTGGGTATGTTCATATTTTTCCAGAACCCCGCGATCGACCTCCCTGTCCGCAGCATCCTCTTTCATGCGGTTGACCTCCTGGAATGTGTTCTCCAACTGCTGCCGCTGGTCAGCCTGCAGGGCCAGCGAAAGGAGCTGTGCAGCATCTTTGAGTCGATAATTCAGGCTTTCAAACTCCTCACTTCACCTTGAAGGCTCTCCTCCAACTGCCCATGGAGATGAAGTTCTCCTCCACATGCTGGGCGGACATCAGTGTCCCCTTCAACTCGTGAAGGCCCTTCTTCACCAATTCAGGATGAGGACCCAGGCCATGAACCTTCACCACCTTCATCACCTGCATCAATGCCGTCACACGCTGCTCCAACCTTTTGCACCTGTACTTGTTGGCTTTCACCTCTGCGCACTGTGAGGGATGCACAGGATGGACGCTGACACAGACCAAGTTCAGGTATGTGGTTTTATTGCAGGACGAGCCATTGGAATATAACCAATGGTGGAAAGGTGGCTGAATGCACGGCACAGAGAGACTGGTGGAGGCAGAAATCAGAGTTGGTGAGCCGGGTGCACCAAAACATGGGGAAACTAGGAGCACCTGGGAGAGGAATGTGCGAGACCGGAGCAACTGGTAAAACTAGACAAACTGGACAACAGAGCGCAAAGTCTCGGGGAAGCCCTATTAGTTGGAATCCCGGGGGGGGGCGTGGCTGAGATGGCAATGGGGATTCTCCAGCGTGATCCATAACTCAGTGCACAGTGCGTACAGGTTCTCCGCTACGGTGATAATGGGATCTATAACATCCATGGGTTTTAACTCCTCCTAGTCGCCTTGTGCTGTTGCAATTCACGTCCTCTTGCGGCGGTGTTCAGATTGTAAGGTAGCATTTTCCTGGGGTTAGTTCTCCATCCTGACAGCTGACAGATGCTAAGCAGTTCCACATATTTGCTGACCCTCCTTTCGAAAGCTTCACCAAGTGATCTTCCCACCAGATTGTTAGCTCCAACAGTATGACTTGCTTGGTTGATTCAGACACATGGACAGAAATGCAGAAATATTATTCTGATTATATTTTATTTTATCTGCTATGTGAGTGTATTTTAGTACGCTCTGTCTCAGTTGGTGGGAAGCCTTGCTGAGGAGAGGATGTGTGGTGAACGTACCCCTGATGTGCTGTACTGTTTTCTTTTGTATATTGAGGAATAAACTCTACACCGGTCAGCCATTCAGCAGCTCGGGTCGTCTTTTGATTCACACAACGCAGAGAACACGTAGAGAAGCTAACCGGCAGTAAAGACCGGTCACATGCGCACCCCTGCCCTAGGGGGCCGTCTGTCTTTTGTATAAATTGGATGGAATCCACAATAATATAGCAATGCATTGTCACTGATAAGAAACAATGTTTCTGCTGTTCTTCAGTAGTTCAAATGACACCTTTCAGAAAAGCTATTCATAGGAGAAAAAGCAAATCAGTCTCTGCTTAGCAACAAAAAAGTTTACTGTCACCCAGTAACTAGGTGAAACTCCCAGAGTTATTGAGTGTCTCCGTCCTGCCTGGTGGATGTCTGGTTAAAAAAATGCGAGAGTCCTCAGTGCTGTCATCAAAGCTAAAGAGGGCTATTTTGAAGGGTCTAAAATTTAAGAAAATGTTGCGAAGCTGAGCACTTCTTTTGGTTGTTGCAGTATTTGATATGTATTACTTCATTGCCTAGAGGCCTTTTACTATAAGGTGAATAACATAGCTAAAATATAGAAAAAAATATTTAAAACAGGTGCATTCAGACTTTTGACTGGTAACTGGTACTGTACCCTCACTATCCCTCACAGGGGGCCTTATATGGAAGAGGTACAGAACCTGGCAAGGCAGTGCGCTACCCAAAATTTGTGCCCACAACTGACAACTTGTGCCACCCACAAAAGAGCTGATTGTGGGCTTCAGGAAATCTAGGAACAGTGTACGTTCTCCTACTCCTGCTTGTCATTCCTCCGCACTCCTGAAATTAAGATATAAGATAAAATTTTATTTATCCATAGGAAAATTGTTGATATGCATATGGTGGGATGTCTCTTATATGTCTGCTTCTAGGTTTTGCACACAGCAAATGGAAGTGCAAGATTGTTTAAATAAAATTAATTTTAGTGTGCAGTTGTATTAATTGCCTTATTTTATCTATCTATCTATCTATCTATCTATCTATCTATCTATCTATCTATCTATCTATTTGATAGTCTAATATGGTGAATTAGTATGTATAATCTCATTATACAATACAAATTGTATTTGCGTCTTGTCTAAATGTTTGAAAATATATTTATATTGTTCTTGTTGCTGTATGTTCCAGAATATCCCACTGGGATTGATAAAGTCAATCTTAATCTTTTCAATAAAGACCTTGAATCCTTTTGATCCTTAAGGATGAACACACTAGAGGTGGCGGCTCACTGTTTCCCTCTGGTGACAGAATTTTCGTAGTGCAGCAACACACGGACAGTAAACATTCAAAACGTCACTTCCTGTTACACTAAAGCAGAAAAACATATTCGAATCTGTAAATCGTGAAATATTTTTATTGATTCGAGTAAAAAATAAGTCATCTTCAGCACGGCGCCTTCTCGGAAGGTAGCTAAGTCGCATTTATAAACCAGAAGTGACACGGAGAAGTTGTGCTGTGTTTCTGACAGCGATGAAGGTTAGTCGGGGTGGATTTGTTTTTGTCAGAGTCGTAGGCTGTTGCAGTTTCTCTTAATGCATCTAGCCGGATACTGTCGGGATGCCACAATTACGGATTGACTCTTTTATGTAATGAAAAAACAAAGTATGCCTAATAATTATATATAATTCCATTGCAAAACAATGTTGCATAAAATAATTTAGATAATTGGTCCATAGACGTTCTTGCATCAAATTATGTGGATACTGTCGCGATAATAGACAGTGCCATTTGGTTTGCTTATTTTGTTATTTATCCGCAAAATGGAGGCCTTAATGTTGTTTATATGGATACTGTTTATGACCCAACTGTGCACACGCCTACAGGTGGTGAATATCCTATTAAACTAATAGAATAAAACCCACGTGTATAGCTGTATCAACTGAAGTACGTACTTGCTATACCTTTATTTTCATTTTCCTGCACCTGTAGCTGCTGTTGTTTCAAAGTACAGAACCCATTTTATACCAGTTTATACATGATTTAAATGTTCAATTTTTTTATCTCAGTTTAGTCTTTTAAGTCATTTTATTAGTGCCGTTTTTCCCCCTGTATTCTGAAATGAAACTCATTACTGTGTTAACTACCGTTCTCCATCACCCATTTTCCCTATAAAGGGACCCAACTCAGATAGTGATCTGGTGGAGGATGCTAGCCCATCGCCGGACAGCAGCAGCGAGGATCTGCCCCCATATCTCCGCGAGGAGCCACCAGAGGGTGAGGCTTATACTCATCTTCCTACACCAAGGAAAGGGAGCATGGGAGGTGACACAGTACTGGTTTTAGGATATGCTGGGGTGCCCTCCAGACTCAGTAACTGGTGAGAGAAAAAGGTGCACACATGCTTAGGTAAACAATTATGAGAGTACATTATAAGAACTGAAGGTGCACCCTCTAATTGTAGTTTCTGAATCGGTTAAACTTCAAAGCTTCCTCTGTTTTTCTGCTGTACCTAAACCATGTTTACGATAGGTTCCAAAAGGATGCATTTAAAAACTTAATTTGGTAGAGATCGTTAAAATCAAACTTTTAAAACCTTTCATAAGGTTTATGAAAATGGTTACATGTGAAGGCGTTATACTGTTAATTGATAGGGATGCAGCAATACAATTTTTGTCAGACCAAGTATGAGAACCGATACTTGCTTTTTGGTACTCACTGATACTGATACCAGTTAGGCCTGGGTGATGTGCAAAAAAAAAAGCAAATTGCGATGATTTAATTTATAAATATCAGGATGAATGGTAATGTGGAAATCCCAGCCCTCCCCCCCACACACGCAAGAATAAACACACATGGCATCAAGTGAGGCACAAATTTTTTAGCTTGGAGAAAATGTGAAAATATGAAAAAACAGTAGATGGATAATCGACAGTCTTGGTTAAAGCTTGCCGGTGGGGCTGATTAGAGGGGCTGATTCTCATTTTTTAGTCTCTCTGGAAAGCGATGGATAGGCAGGCCGTGTTTAATTATGATTTACAAACATATCCCTGGTGGTCTAAAACAATCTGAAGTAGTGGCTTGCAAACGTTTTACACCATGTGCCACCTCAGAAAGTGTTACGTGTACCACCATTATTATAGATCGCCAAAAACAATATACTGGATAAGGGCTTCTGTTAATTTCAATGCCCAGTGGTTATTGTCTCTTTTCTTTCTCTGTACTAGTGTTTCTATCAGTTTGTTTACTAGTATTAGGTGCATCCATACTAATTAAAGTACTTTTGTGGCATTCAGAGTTTGGTTCTGTGTATTTACACGTGTGTACTTGACCATACGTGTATTTCAGTGTCATCACAATACATTACATATTAGACCCTTTTTGGTTTATAAAATCCTTTAATGGGTTGACAGGTTTACTAGGAGAACCACAGTGGGTACCTAAATCCATATTCATAACTGGCATATGGGGTTTTTGCTGGTAAGTGGAAGTATAGGTTTGTTAAATATTCTTATGATTGATGTCTGCTATATGCTACCCTTAGCATATTTCTTATTAGCCTGAGAAGTGTTCAGCAAACAAACAAATAGCAATGCAGCACATCAACTGTTTGACTGCTTTTTTGATATGGACCCTGACAACTGGTTGTGTGCATCTGGAGTCATTCATATCTGCTTTTCTATGTACAGATTTCGTTCATTTTAGTCTAAGACATTTCTGACAGAAATGGCCTTTAGTTGTGTCCATATGTAAATCATCAAGGTTCACAGCTGTCTAGCAGTTTGTCACTAACTGCATGATTATGGCATAGATAATGAAGGTCACTGGTGATAGAACGTTCTACTGTTTTATGCCTTCAAAGCAGTGGAGCTCTACTCAAGTGATCTTAACAGCCACAAATAGTAGCGATTGTGGTGGATTTGCTGGAGGTGTCCAAGGCCTTCAAAAGCCAGTTATTCCACAATATTTGTAAAGGACACATTGAGTTCTTTTGTAGGGTACTGCACGATGCATCTTTTCTGAGGATTTGTGTAAATGTAATCTTGTGTCCTTAAGAGGGCACCATTGTCCAACTGAATACCAAGCTTTTCAGCAAACATTTAAAAGCTATTGCTTTCCTCTACATCAGTGAAACTGGGCGTTGGGAAGTTCAGAGGATGTATTTTTAATATGTTAGTGTTTTTCCCTATATCTCAGGATTAGGATACACACAGCTGGTTGCTTTAATGTTGGCATGCTCATGCAGAATGAATTTGGCTTGCCAAAAACCTAGTGTGAGAAGATTTATTTACTGTTCCAGGTTTTCTAGATAGAAACATTATTTTTAGGATAAAGGATATGCCTATGAAAATGATTTTACCAGTATAATAACTCACCAGCTCATTGTCCTTTGTTTCAAGTGATGTGTAAAATACTGTTAGATGCTGAGTACAGACCCTTAGAACAGCAGCCGGCAAAAGCCACAAGCTTCTTAAAGGTTTCTGCATAGCTGTAAATACTACAGTCTCTTATATGGAACTGGTCTAATTCTGATTTTTTTTTTCAACCATATGCTTGTAAAAGTATTGTATGTGGTAGAATCAAAGAACTATGAAGTATTCTATGAATCTTAATGCAGTTTGTGTATTGTTGCATGGTAAAATTTGAATTTTTAGCTCTGTCTTAAATAATGGGGAAAAACAAGAAATACTTCAATAAAAATTTGCAATAAGAATGCATTTTTAAATATGAGTTGTTGATTTTAATATAGCAAAGTGTTACATTACAAAATGCGTTTATATATATTTTTAATATTAACTTCATTTTGCAAATACTGTACATGCATGACATAAAGTGTAATGAGATCAATTATCAAAGAAGCAGCACTGTAGTTTTCCTGTTTACATGGCAATGCTTCCTCATTCAATCGTCCTCTGATTCAGACACATCCAGGTTAATCCACATAATCTACTGAGTGACAAGGGCTTTGTCAACATTTTCAGGTTATTTATTGGCCGGTTGTAACACATCACACATAGGTCTGGGGTTGCAAAAAAACAGTTATTTTGATAATCAATTAATCATGTGATCAGTCGATCAACTAATTAGTTAGTTGAGCCAAAACACAGGGTTTGAAGAAAGGTGCAAATGCTTTATTTAAAATACAACAATATTTTTAAAGTTGTAATAAAAACTTTCCACGGTGTTGACAGTCTCCATTTAAAGTGACAACGTGTCATAAAAACAAAGATCTGCTGTCTCCCCCATATATAGTTTGGTGACGATTGTATGGTAATGATTTGATGGTATTTTCCAAATGAACATATTTTGAAATCTTGAAGATATTATTTGTCAAGCTTGGGGTGTCCTGGCTAATTTTGTTTCCAAGATTTTAAAATATTGCAATATATTACCATAGTGCTGCCCAAGCCTAGTACAATTTAAAAAATGTACCCATTTTATTACACTGCTTGTATTTGTGATTGTTGCAATACTTCTACCCTCTGCTGGTCCGGTGGAATACCATTGCTGCACTCATGTGCCGACCACGAGCATCATCCACGGACAAATGCAGTACATACACAAGAGTCTGTGACTGGTATAGCATGTCGAAAAGAGAAGAATGAGCAGTGGTGCTGATATCATCATATGCAATGTATGCAGCAAACCGCAAAAATGCAACCAATCATTGACAAAATTCTCTGTCAACTTTTTTATTACAGATTATTATTGACGTTATTGATTAGGTGTTGCAGCCCTGCGTAGGTCATTCTCAATATTAGTCAAATCATACAAGGACCATTACAAACATTTGCAGAGGAAGGGAAACAATGCTGGCTTTCACTTGCTTCTTCTACTGCTTTAGAAGGGTTTGTGTCTTTTGACGAATGAGGGATGACCAGATAGTGATGTCTTCAGTTGTGGCATTTATATATATAAAACACTGTTAGTTATTATTAATAATATGTACATGGGTTCCATAAGAGTAGGAGATGTGGAAACTAATCATAATAATTGTCTGTATGTCCTAAGGGTGAGTGGACTTAGTAGCAAGGAAATGATGTACTGCAATAATTTATGACTTCCCTTCTCCAAAGCTGAAGTCTTTGGGGACATATGGGGATCATTTTATCTTGCTTATGTGAAGTGGAAAAGTTTGCAGGTCCCAGGCCATGATGCAAGTGAAATTCACAATACATGTAGAATACATAAAAAGGAATATGAAAACATTATTCTTGTCCCCCTCTTTACTTTGAAGATATTTTTTTGTGTCTTTTATGTTTGATGCCATATTTTAGACACTACAAAGCAACTAGGCGATGTTAATTTTGGAGATAGGGCTGAGAAACTATTGCTTTAATACTCTAGTTTCATAGTAGATGATTTCACTGACTGCAGTTAATGTGTTCAAGTGATGTTACATCCAGGCTTACATGGCTAGCTGATTTCTCCATTTGCAGCTCTGGTGCACAAGATCTGTGGAGGCCTTAAATGCCCTCTATCATTGTCATACCCTGCATCCCTACCCCCTCGTTCTCTCCCTCGTGTGGCTCTAATGAGCCACACCTGTTTCTTGTTTAATCTTACCTCTCGTTACAGCTCTCGTGTGGATCACCCCAGGTGCCTCTCGTCTGCTCCCTCATGTGCCCTGTATAAAGCATCCTTCAGTCCTGCGATCCCGAGTCCAGTCATTGATGTTGCTGCCTGCATGTGCTCCCCAGTGTGCCCCGTGTCTAATGTTCTTGCCTGATCCTTCCTATCCTGTTTTGACCCCTTGTGGCCTGTTTCCATCGCCCTTCCTGTAGTGTAGTTTCCTTTAATAAAGCCCCTTTTGATTTTTCCCCACACCTGCCTTCGCCTCCGTCCTTGCCCTCGACATGACAATCATATGTTTTTTTTTTTTTTTTGCAGAATGGCCACATGAGTGCATTTGGGCAGCCACTGTCATGTTAAAGCTTGTGGTCCATTCAGTTCTTTCTTGCACCTGGCCAAAAGACCAGGCCATCTGTTGTGGAGGCGTTTCAGATACCTGCCACAGTCATTTAGGGTATTGATTCAATGAGAACGGAAATTATATTTTATTTAATTGCCTACAGAGTGTCCAATAGTTTGTCTTACCGGGATCATGACAGACTGCTTTGGTACCTTTGGATAAAAATGGATTAGTGGGGTTAAATACTTGGCAAGGCATGAGTGACATTGCAGACCCCAGTTCATATCTTCCCGGGATGACCTGGATGAAGGGACCCTGGTGGAATAATAAATAAAGAAGTTATCTGAGGCCTTAATAGGCCTGT